GCAGGTGGCTACTGAGCTCTCTTAGAACCTTTTGTTCCCAGTGTGAAGAGGAAAGAAACAAATCCTGCTATTTACCATTTTGTGGCTCCATGGTGCTCTCCCTGCAAACAGCGGATTCCTCCGTTCCCACACACCAGTACATTCTGGGTGGCAGTTGTGGAGGCCCCACACACAAACTTTCCACAGCACTTCAGACTGAGCAGGGTTGTCAAGGCTGGATGATCCCCATCAGGTGAATGCAGGAGCAGAGGCTGCTAGTGAGCACCATCCTCAATAAGCATCATTTATTCTGTTTAAAAATAAACAACAAAACAAATTAATCATTCCACTGTAGAAATGGTGACACGTTCATTCCTCTCCACTATCAGCACAGTTGTCCAAATGTCACACTGCAGAAATACACTTATCATCCTATAAATACAATTATTTTCATATTAGCTTCGTTAAGAGCACAACATGAATTAACAGAGGGGACTACTACTACTAATTTCTGTGCTACAGAAAGATAATGTTCCTAATTTTTCACCACCAAAGCTGCTCAGTCTTTGGGCAGAGGACAAGGGGGTGGGCATGGGTCACAGCTGTAGTTTCAGATTCTCCACAAGCTGGTGTAAAGGCAGACCATTGAAACCCTGCAGTGCAGCTGGAAAAATCCTAAATGCAACCTCAAAACCTCTCCCATCCACAAAGACAACCACAGCTCTTGTAAGACTGTGAGAAAATGAAAAACACCGATGTGGTTACTGAGATAATCCTCTGTAGAAAGGAGAAGAGGGCAAAGAAAACCCAGCAGCTCCTGTGCCCTCTGCCCAGCCCTTTCTGAGAACTCTCCCACCCTGGAAGCACCAGGCTTCTTCACTCAGGGAGGCAAATCAGGCCCTCAGGAGCTATTAAAGATTGCCTGCTTGTGAACAGGCAGCAGAAAATTGCACAGCTCAGTCTCCTGAGGCATTTCCAGCTCCTTCCCTTTCCACAGCTGCACAGCCCCCCCTTAACCTCTCTGTACAGAGCCTCAAGCTCCTGGAGGATTTGCAGTGTTTGCCCAAGCAGCATCAGAGCTCCTTCATTTGCTGCTTTCAGTTTCAGTCAGTGAACGCCTCTCAGATGGGACATGATGCACCTCAACTGACTCTTACTGGTTCACTCGTGTCTGGTGTGTGGTGATGAAGTTCTGATTTGAGGCTGTCGCTCAGCAAAGCTCATCACCCACCTCCCACTGCAGCCAGCAAGGCCTGAGACCTTCCCTGACTCCCCTGAGCAGAGCTGGCTTCCTGGACTGGGACCAAAGGCCAAGGGGAATTTAAAAATATGCTGATCCATCACCCCTGTCCAGGGAGCTTTCTGCTCCTCCCTCCTTACACTGGGTTTCAACCACCAGCCAACAGCACTAAAAATCACTGCATCCTATTTCAGTTGTTTCTAGGCAAATATTTGAATTTTAGGAGCACTCAGCTTCTGCTGACCCTGACTTTGCAGCAGCAACAAAGACTGGCACCCCTGTGCCTGTCTGGGCTCTGGGTGCTGCAGGAGGCTGAGACGGAGGTGACCCCTAATCCCAGAGCCAAGCCCACAAACTGCTGAATTGCTCTGTGTTGGTGGAGGACTGAATTCTGCGCTGGCCCACCACACAACTTCTCCCCTGGCCTCAGTTTCCCCTGCCCACACTGGCAGGAGCAGCTGGGGCCACACATTCCCCCATGCCACGGGTGGGACACGCAGGCAGAGGGGTCAGGGAGGCTCTCACACCTCCCAGAGCTGTCCAGGCTGCTGACTCTGGCAGTGGAGGGGATGTGATGCTTCCAGCAGCCACCTGCCCATTGCCCTCGATGCACAGAGCAGCTCCAGGGAGAGCAAACACTTTCCCATGCACACTGTGGCCCACCTGCTCTGCAGCAGACGATGGCTTCTGAGGCACCTCCTTGCCCTGACATGGGGACAAGCCATGTGCACCCACAGCAACTGCACAAGAAACACTCAGTGGGGGTCAGCGTGGACCCCTGAGGCTTGAAAACCACTCCACTCCTGATTTTCACCTCTCTACTCAGCCTATTCCCCAGGCTGAAACTTTCCTTGTATAAAGTGAAATGAATAAAATAACTTTTAGGAAAAATAGCAGTGTGGTTCTGGTAATCAGTTCCTTCAATTGCAAGTAACTAAATGCTGTAGTCATGTATATTACTGCCACACAGTGCCCAGGTAAGCAGGATTTCCATACTTCAGGACCTTTTTGAATATAATTTAAAAAAAACCCCTACAGAGTTTTACCTTCAGAAAGGTGCACACAACTGTAACACGTGCAAACATCATGACTTTATTTGATTAGGGATTTGATTTAGGGAGTCAATGTGCTCTGCAGAATCTCGTTCAGAAGGAGAGGGACCATGCAGAACACACCTGAACAGGTTGAAATGGGATTTACACCCCATTTCACATATTCCCAGTCCTGACACCTGCTACTGCCCATACTTGAACCATACTCCTCTCCATTTCACCATCCTGCCCAGTCTGACCCTGTGCATAGTGCCTAAAAACAGTCGGGCCCCCAGAAACATCACGGCTTGCCCAAAATCGCTTCCTAATTCATAAAAAAACCCTGCTAAAACTTCAGTGCTTTACCCAAACCACCTGTTGATTCTGACAATCCCACCTGCGGATTGCCATGGGTCTGAGAGGCCCAGGGACAGGAGGGAAGGCGCTGGGGCTCTGTGCGGTGTCGACAGCGAACCTGGGGCCGAGGTGCCGGCCCAGGGACCCGGCCAGCCCAGGGACCCGCATCCCTCGTCCCGGGTGAGCAGCGAGCACCAAGCCATCCCTTCTCACACCCCGGCCGGCCGGGGGGACACCAGGCGCTACACCCCGTTTTTCGGGGGTCTCTCACGCCTTCCCAGCCGCTTTCCAGCCCCCGGGCTGAGGCGTCCCCTCACAGCGAGTCCCGCCGCTCTGCGGCCCCGCCGGGCGGGGCGGCCGCGCTGCGCCCGCAAAGTTCCCTCCGAACTTTCATTTTCTTTAAAAACAAACTCGTTTTCCCCCTCGTTTCCACGTGAACCGCCCCGGCAGCCCCCCACACCGACTGCCCCGGCGGCGGGGCAGGTGCCCGAGAAGCGGCAGCAAAGCCACGGTACCTCCGCGTCCCAGGCCGGCGCCCCCGGTCCCGCCGCCGCCGCCGCCTCCTCCTCCTCGTCCGGCGCCGCCCGCACGCCTCGCTCCGCGGCCCGGGAGGCGGAGGGAGCCCGGCAGCAAAGGCAGCGGGACAGCGGCTCCTCCTCCGGCCCCGGGCCCGCCGGCCAAGGGCGAGTCCCCCGGCACGGCCCCCGGCCTGCCCCGAGGGCAGGGCTGGCCCGCAGAGGGAGGAGGAGGATGGAGCTCCTTGCCCAGACCCGACCCACACGCCCGCCCGCCCCCGGGCAGCCCTCAGGCTCCGAGGGTTTACGTTCTTTAGGAAAAACCGGCGTGGGAGTGACGGTGGCTGGAGCAGGAGCGCTCCCGCAGCGCTGCCCGTGGTCCCGGCAGGGCCCGGCCTTACCGGGGCACAGATCCCGGCACAGCTGCACTTTGAAAGTTGCTCCTTCCCCGGATCGCGGCGAGTTCGGTCCCCGCTGGAAGAGCGGAGCGAGGTTGCCCCCTCTCTTCGGAAGGAGTCGGATGTTGGTGTGCGCGGCCCTTCCCCACACTGACCCATTCCTCTCCAGCAGCCTCTGACGAGCCAGGGATTGCTCCATTTACCCCACTCGTCAGACCAACTAAGAAAAAACCCCAAACATTTCTGCGTGCCTTTTGCTTTGCTGTTCGTAGCCATTCTGTAAATTAAATTAAACACAGAGGATGTGTTTTACCCTGGTCGGTACCTAGCAATGGGCCACTGCTGGTCACTTGGGGTGGATGTGCATTCACAGAAGGCTGCAGCAGGTTGAGATTTGCATGGGGCTCCTTTGGGTGATTGTGGAGACACAGATGGGTGTTCACTGCTGCTCTTCCCTGTGTTCAGGTCCCCATCAACCTGCGTCCAGTTGCAGCCATAGGTAGAGAGCAAGAACGTAGCAATACTGTTGTTCTCTGAATTTTAACACAGCTAAAAACCAGTGTTACCTGTTTTCAGCACCTTTCCACCTCTTACCCAGCGTGCTCCCTTTTATGCCTCACAGCCCAGCTCTTACGCAGACCTTTCTTACACCATTTTTAGCACAATGTTTGAAAACACCGTAAAATAACTATTTTTCCTTTATTATGATAGAGCCTCTAATTTCCTTTGGCAATAATTTACCCACATATTCAAGCTAATTTTTCCCTTTTTTCCCTTCCCATATCTCATCCCACCTTTCCTTAGGTCTCCATCGATTATGTCACTCACAGTAATGCCTTTGTATCTCCAGCCTTCCCTTTTCTGGACTCTGAAAGCTTCTGACTGATGCTGTCAGTGAGTGGAAAATTCAAGGAGTTTGGCTTGGCCTGTGTAGGGAGCCCAAAGGAATTTCTCACACATCAGATGGGAAGAGAGTTAAAAGACAATGGAATGTTCTTGCTCTGTATCTACACTGCAGATGAGAGAAATGAAACTGGGCTGGGAACACATTCAGCAGAGCCACTCTGGTGGTGGATGTGTCCCAAGGGCTTTAGGGAGCAGCCAGAGCAAGGCAGGAAGCCCCATCTGGCTGCAGGAGCCACAGTGTCTTTAAACACTTCATTTTGAGGCTCACCTCAGCAGGAAGAGAGGATCCATCCAGCTTTGTGCTTGCCCCAGCCAGCTGCAGCTCTGCTCTCCTCCCTCTGCTGATGGGAAATGGCACAACTCAAGCTTTTATGTGCACAGCACTGACCACACTTAGCACTTTGCTCTTAAAATTACAAAAATTAATCCAAAAACTGGAAAAAATTTAATTAATTAATCCAAATTGCAAAAATTAATCCAAGTGCAGACTCCCTCACAGTGCCCCAGCGAGATACTAAATCCTCAGATACACCTGTTTCACAAAGTTAAACATTTATTAGGAACAAGAACTATTACAAAAAAGATATCCATAGTCTAAATATATACATGAGGTTTAAACATAACATTTTCATGTACCTTTAGCTATAAAAATACATTAGATTAACTGTATCCTAATTTATAAATATAGTTCTTTTCTTTTAAAAAAACAACTAGTATTCATATGAAAGCCTTACTGTGCAATGGAGGAATATATATACCCTCTAAGGGGTTATTTTAAAGTTAGTGTCTAGTGTTATATAACTTACAAAATTCAGTGTGTAGAGTCAAACCCTGATTTATACAATAAGAGATACATTGACTTTTAAAAAACTTGATAAGGGGGAAAAAAATGAAATATATATCATACATATAAAGCCAGAAGAGTAGGGTTTTAAGAATTTCAGATTATTTCAGTTTCCACCACTGTTTATCAAAAATACAGAGACACATCAAGATAAACAGCCTTTTACTGTTTGCCTCACCTCTCTGCAGCCCAAGGAAACCCTCAGGTGGGCAAGAGTAAAATGTTTGTCTGAGAAGATGTTTGCACTCCTATGTGTCTTACAAAAATAGAAATTATTTACAATGATCCCATTTGGTCTTTCATGGGGAAGGGAGGACATTTTCATCACTGGATGGGGAGATTTACCTGCCTCACACCCCGTGGGAGCACAGGCTCCTGGTTACACTGTGGGAGGTATGTCACATCACAACTGAAGTGATGTTGAAGTGCAATTTCAACATTCACCAACTAATAAGGAAGTTTAGGCTCATGCAAACTTTTTTCCTTACTTATCACCACCCACCTTCCTTCCTCCTCCAAAAAAAGCTCCACTCATGCAACAGAATTTGCTGCTGTCTGAGCCTATCTGTGAGCAAAGGAAGGTGCTGGTTAAATCCTGGCTTGCAGCAGAGAAGAGAGGTTAGACTTGCATTTCTGCTTCAAGCTCTGACATGGGAGCAGCAATCCTTATCAGTGCTCCCTGGGGATCTGCTGATAAGCCATAAGGTGGGTTTGTTCTCAGAGGACAATCCCAGAGGGATCAGCTGAACTTCCTAACAAGCTGTCACCACTAACTCCTGCAGACAAGGCTGTGCCTTTGCCAGGACTCTCCAGCAGAGTCAGGAGGAGGGAAAGCAGTGAGCCAGGAACTGAAGATAGCCTGTGGCTTGTCATTCATCTCATGGTAATTAATCTCATAATAATGTCTGGGCATGCAAAGGAGTTACTGCAGGAGGTGCTAAGGCATGAGCTGGCTGTGACAGCCACTCCAAGGGACAATCCAAGGCAGTGTTCTCAGTGAAGGATCAGCTACTCTGTGCTGGCCATGGGATGACAGCACTCACAGGGACAATGGCTGTGAAGCTGCTGACAGACTCAAGTCCAGCCACAGCTTATTCCATGGTAACTGGCTTGTACACCCTTCTCTTCAGCACTCAAGGTGTGCTTGGGAGCACCTGCCTTTCCACACTGCACTTCCAGGAATGTATTTTAAGCTACATTCATACAGGATAAAGAAGCAGCGTGAAGAGCTAAGTTTTACTCTCAAAGTAACAGGTCTGGCTCAAAAAGCAAAGAGATGTTCAAAAAGCCTGAAAGTTGCAGAGAAAGAGGGTGCAGGGCAGTTTCCTGCAGCTCTTCTGCTCCCTCCCCCAGATCAGGACTGGTATGGGGTGTTTTCTGTGGGGTATCTACCATGCTACATGCTCAGCATCCAACTCGGTGTCACCACGGTAAGTGCAGTGCAAAATCCTCTTGAGAAAAGTGCTGTAGTGAAGGTTTGAGATACAACTGTGACTCACTGGGAGCCAGAGGGGTCAGCAAGTCAGGAACTTGCATTTGCAGCATGTGTAGTGTGTGCACACCCAAACATCAGGTTCCAAGGACACTTGAAAGTCTGGCTCTGTTGGGTGACATAGTGGCCCCAAAGGAGTCCTCCAGGAAACTCCCACAAATCTCATTCAGGGCTAGAATATCACCAGGATGGAGAATGCACATATCTTTAGAGAAACCACGGTAGCTCTTTCAAAGAGAATTTCCTTACAGATCCTTCCATGAAAGCTTGCACTCCCATTCCAACCTCCAGCTGCAATCTTCACACAAACTCCACCAACTCCAGTCAAGCTGTTCTAACCCTTCCTTACCACTCGAGTCCATCTCTGCCAAGGGAAACCCAAGTGCCTCTGAAGGTTTTTGCCAGTACCTGTGATGGCACCAGCAGTCTCTCTAGCATGCCAGTGATGTCCATGTCCTTCAGGGGTACAGCTGGGAAGCAGATGTCCTGCCAACACTGTGACTGACCAGTTTTGAGTCACAGGGAGCAGGCAGATGTACAGCCAGGGACTTGTGCAGTACAAGTGTGTACTGCCAGTAGGGTCAGTGAATCAGTTTTTGAAGAGCCAGTTGGCAAAACGGAGCCCAGCAGATTCAGTGTTTCTAGAGGAATAAAGACAGGTGTTTGCATGTTCCTTCCCACCCCTCCCCTCCCCCTTGCTCTGAACACGTCCCCCAGGTGTCACATTCAGAGTGTCAGCATTGCAGGCCTCCTGCTCTCATGGACTCTTCTGGGACAGTTTGATGGTGACTGTTTTCACCTCGGTGTATTCTGCCAAAGCATACTCCCCACTGCAAAAGAAAAGAGGGACAAAAGGACAAACAGTTGTTGAATGTTAATATGTATTTCTCTGAGAGAAGAGAGTTGTACACATGTGCATTTCTGACATCAGGTCATTAAAACCAGATCTGAACAATTTACACCAGCTATCCACTTGTCCCACCATCTCTAATAGCCACCAAGTACATGCACATAAGTACATACAATTACACCCTGTTGTGAGGGAAACACAGAGTTCTTTGGTCACTGTAACCCACAAGATGATGCTTGTGACTCTGCCTGTGCAAACTGAGTGCTGCTGTGAGAAGCCATACAAGAGACAGCCACGTACACTGAGCTATTGGTGCTTAGACAGCAATTAAAGTTATTTTTTCACCAAAAGAAAGCTTCTATCTACCATGTCATCAGGAGGGCACAGTTGCTCCAGAAATGCATATTGATGAGAGAGCCCACCACTGCATTATGTCTTGGTTGTGATAACTGGCTCTGTTCCCAGGCCCTTCCCTTGGGAAACCTCTGACATCCTTTAATTAGCCAGGCAGTCAGGCAAAGCAAACCATAAGGTCTCAATATATAACTATGTCCCATCTGAGGTTTAATTTATTTGCTGTGCTTAGCAAATGAGGCACCTGAATGTCTCAGAGCAGCAGATGTACCAGAACAGTTACTGGAAATGGTTTCTGGGATTAAATCTCCTTGTGAAAAAAGGTGTGTTAGATTCCTCTGAGGAGTCTGCTGAATAGTCTAAGAAAACCTGTCTCCTATACAAGAAGAAAATTAAGATTTAAGACAATGTCTCAGCTCTGTGTGTAACTCATGGAGTGACCTTGGTTTAAAAATTTCAGCTTTAGTAACTATTAGAGCTGAAGCATCTTGGCAGCCCTGCTGTAGCAGGCCAGGCTGGGGAAGAGGGACACAGAGTTCTTGTGTAATTTAGCAGCAAGCTGGGAAGGTGGGATGGAGAATGATTTGGGAGATCATTCCTTCCCACCTGAACAAGGAGCAATGAATGATACAGCAGCCAAGAGAGGCACAGACACCACCATGGAAAATGGAGCAGGTTTGGGGTGGATACCAGTGTCTCCAGCCATGGTGCCACACTTCTCCCTTCATCTAAAAATCTAATTAGTATGGAAAAATGCTTGCAAGTGGACTTGACTGAACTGGAGCTATTAAAAGCTCATAAAGCAGATGAAGGTGCTCCTAAAGGAATGCTTTACATCCACGCTCTACTGGATTAGCACCTCCCTGTGGGGCATGCTGCAAGCCTGATTAAACTTTAAAAGCAAATTCAACAGTGTTTTCACAGTCACAAATGTTATTGCATTCACCACCCACACAGAAACAAAATACTGAGCAAAACTTACAGTTCTCTGCCATTGCCTGACATTTTAAAGCCACCAAAAGGAGCCTGAGCATAGAGGGCATTGTAACAGTTGATCCTACAATAAAAACATCAATTTTAGAAAGACAATTCAATACCAAGGAAAAGCAAGATGATGACAACAGCAACAATACAATAAAATCTGAAATCTCTCTGTTTTCTCTGTCATACACTTGAGAAATCAGATTATTGCAATAAAATCTTCTTTTGCTGCAGAAACAGAAAACATCTGAGTAGTTCTCAGTCTGACCTACATCTTGCTTCATATCCTCTAATGGCAAAGACATTCATGCTTGAGCTAGAATTTATGCCATGTTCAGAGTCATGATTAAAATAAATAGTTCAGGCTATTCCCTAATTTATTAAGCACATTCTGAAATGAACATGTTTACTCAGCTCTCTAAACACTCACAATGAGGCCCCAGCATCTCCTTCCAGGTACAGAAAACATTTGGACTGTGTCAGACAATTGTGTCACAGTAAAATAAAAGCACGGGGCCCATTTCTATGGATACTTGGTAGAAAAAGCTGATGCAGACACTTCCCCAGCATCTCAGTATGATCAAATGACTGAAGGTCATGCAGCACAGGCATGGCTTGTGCTGGAAGTGTGCACCTCCATGTGTGTTCAGCACATGCATCCTTCAAACCCAACATCCCATTTTTATGTAAATATTTGAAGCTGATTCTTCTGGTGCCAACTCTTAAAATTAATCCTCTACATCAGAATCAGATACCAGATCAGCTTCCTGTCCTGAGTGGGAAAAAAATCAGGATTCCATCTTTGAAATCATTCTAATATAAAATAAGAAATTTTGTACACAAAAATAGCTGCTTTTCTTTGTGACAGTGGTGTGTTGCCACCTACTGTCCATACTGGTTTGTGCAGCAAAATCCCATCTGGTGCTGGCAAAAGATCATGAGAATTGCTTTTTGCTACATACAGGGTTTTGGAAGGCACAATGTCTGGTGGAGCTTACTACAACCACAACAAAGAAATACCTCGACTGAAGGAAGAAACAGTCCATTTCTCAACATGCTGTCTGGACTCAGCACCTCATTTTGAGGAATGGATGTTGCTTCTGAGCAGAACATCAAGAATTAGGCAGGCTACTCATCCATCTTAGCTGCAGCATTTAGAGAATCACAGATATTCTGAGTTGGGAGGGACCCACAAGGATGACGAGGTTCAACTCTTAAATGAACGGCACACATGGGGATGGAGCCCACAACCTTTATCATCTTACTAACACAACTGCAAGTCCTAAATCCCTCTCCCCTCCCAGGAAACAAAGCCCCAGCCCAGCCTCTGTTCCCAGGCTGCTCACCAGACTGTTCCTGACTGCAGAGCTGAAGCCAGGGTTAAAGCTCTGTCCAGGTTCTTGGTGAACACTGCAGCTGTGAGTCCGTACTCAGTGCTGTTGGCTCTTCTAATCACCTCTTCTATACTCTTGAACTTCATAATTGGCTGAACTGGCCCAAAAATCTGCAGATATCAATTAAACTTTAGTACAGGAAGGCATCTGCTAATCATGGTAGTTTTGAAGTAATCAGAATCAGATGCTCTGTTTGGATAATATATTTAAAATCTTATATTTTAGCCTTCTAGGGATCACTGATGGAGTGTCCTAAAAGCTACTAATTAAACTTCAAAGGAAGCATTGTGATGTGCTGTAGTAGTTAATAGATGCTAAGATCCAACAAGTAATGGATCATCTGTAACAATCAAAATAAGCAGAGTTAGATCTGGACAAGTTACAAATGATTCATCCTTACTCCATTTACAACTCTCCTTTTGAACTCTGAAGCTGAGTGTGCTCAAGTAACAATTAATTTATTTCAAGGACTGCAAGTTTCCTTCCTTGGTTTTAACCCTGATTTTGTCACTGTATGCATTTTATTTGCATGCAGTGCATTAACCACATCTGTGTTCAACCACAAACTTGGCTTCCCAGGTTGCCAGTAGAAGCAACAGCCACACAGAAGGTTTCCCAAATTTTGGGATGGAGTCTCTCATTGGGCACAGTATCAAAGGTGGAGCCCTTCCTTGGTCTGCAGGCTCTCACAGCACAATAAAGCACATTGAATGTGAGAAATAGACTCATTTGGGCCACTTTTAAGCTCATACAAGGGTTTACAAATGTCTTTGTTTTGGGATATCCAGGCTCTTATGTGGAGCCTTAATCCTAGGCAAAGGATGAACATGCATTTGCAGCAAAACTGCCAATGAATGGAACTGGATAAGCTTTGTGAATCATGGCTTGGGATTTGGAGTCAGTTCATTAAGAAAAGGTTTGTCATGGGATTTTCAGCTCTTTTTCTCTCTATTTTTAGAGTGTAACTCATGCCCTGACTGACTGATATCTTTCCCAGGTTCCTTAGAGATTCTGTGGCAGATCTGAGACATTTAAACATCTTGCCAGGAGTGAGCAGCAAGCAGCCCCATAAAAAGCACCAGGCTAAACTTTAAACTACAAATGCCAGTTAGACTTTGGCAACTACTTATTTTCCATTAGGGAACATGATGAAAAGTAGATTAACTTCTATTTCAAAGGAATATCACAGCATCTAATCACATGCAGCTTGTTCAACATTTCTACATATGAATAATGAAAGCCAGAGTATTAGATCTGCACTTTGCTGGCTTTGGCTATGTTTTCATATAGGAAAGAAATAGTCAGTCTCAGGAGATTTTGCCATGAGAATGGAATCTGGGATTGTTTCAGATGCTAAGGCTGTTTCAGAGAACTTCAGTGGCTGTTTCTTTGCTCCTTTCCAGCATCAGGTCCCAGAGTTCTTTTCCCACTTTTCTGCAATAAAGCAACCCCTTCTCTACAAAGGAGGGGAGCAAGAACACACATTACACTGTTCATGGTCACTGGCAATTACAGGGTAAATAATTGCTCCAGCCAGCCACAGTGTCAGTTATTTTTACTGAGTGATTTATATTTAAAATTAAGGATTCAGAAGAACCCTCTCCATTACCACTATTTCTGATTCTGAAGCAGCATTTTCCAGGTGATTTGTACTGTACCTCTTCTTTGGCAATTCTCATGTTGTCAGTGACCTCTGAAAACACTGTAGGTTTTATAAACAGGCCTCTGTCTTCGATGGCAAGACCTCCACACTCCAGCTTAGCTCCTTCTTTCTTCCCACTTTCTATCAGCTCCAGGATTTTATCAAACTGTTTTTGGTCAATCTGTCAGACACAAAAGGAAAGAAACAAACGGCAGCACCTTTATTATCATGGTTCCAGAGAGGAGTCATGGAATGTGGCCCAGAGGCACATTTGCAGGGCACTGTAAACTGGGTCAGTTTATAGCTCAGTTTAGGATGTGGCACTCAGGGAGTGAGCAGGGAGAAAGACAGGACATGGGCATAGCTCTGAGCCACAGGACACACAAGGTGAAGTGACATGTGACAGTTTAATCTGATTTAATAGTTTGCTGCTGCATGGAGGAGTCTTTCCCCTTTGCCTTCCTCCCTGTCCTGGGTGTGTGCTCCCACAGCTCACCTCACTGGAGCTCTGGGATTTCTCACCTTCTCCAAGCGTGTAAGATACTGGTTTATCTCAGCAGCAGTATGAGAACTGCCTGAGATGGACTGGAGAGCTCATCCAGGGATCTGACCAGCAGCAGAATCACTACAGGAGAGGGAGGGCCAGGATCTAAGAACTATTAACTCAATTTTGCTCAGTGTGCAGCTTCACCTACAGCTCTGTGTCCCCAGCTGGAAGAGCCCAGTGAGCTCTGCCTCATCTCCTTCCACAGTGCACACTCCATCAACAGCTTCAACATAAGCCCTGTTGGTGGGGTGACTTCACAACAACTGCTGCACCAAAGCCTTGCTTTTTAAATCAGAATCGCTTTTCACAGTCCTTAGAAACTGGTATAATCCTGCATTTTTTTTTTCCTCTCTCACATTTAACTACCTTTTCTAACTCCTCCTAGCTATGGAATAATCTCAAATAGTGAGTGCTGCTGTCAGCCTTTGACCAGGGATTTCTGTAGGGCTGGGGAAAGGTAAGTCCAGTGGCAGGACCCTGAGGCTGCACAGCTGCACCAGGACTTGGAGGACACATCATGCACTCCACAAGCACAGTGTGTCCTGTGCTGGGAACAGGTGCAGAAGCCCACAGCACTTCCACTCACTGCTGAGCATTCTGTGCTCCATGTGCAGCAGTGGGCTGCAGAACTGCAGGTTTCAAACAAACAGACCTGGCTCTTGACACAATGTGGAATTAAGTGATGAAACTCCTCATGACAGCACACTGGAGATAGTAAAACACTTAGAGATGTTTTTAAAAAGAAAAACTCAAAAAAAAGCTCAAAAATTTATTGAGGTGATTAAAGAAGACTCCACCCGCTGGTACAAGGTGTCTTGGAAGGCCGGGGGATTATTCTGATTGCCAGGTATCTCCAGATGCTTGTTCTGGCTCAATCCCCCTCCCTAGGCATCTGGTTTGATTTCAGCAGGGCCAGTTGCCAGTTGGGACTGTTTACACGGAGTGTTCCACACTTGACTCCTCCAGATTACAGACTATATCCTGTCCCTAGTTAATCCTGACCACACACAATCCAAGTTTTCATGCTTTTAGACAAATATCAAAGCTGCAGGAGGGTGTCCTTGGGATACTTGTGGTACAGAGTGGAAACAGAGCCCAGCACATCTCCAGGCAAACAGATGTGTGAGCAGCACGCGCACTGTGCGTGTTCTCAGTGCTTGTGTTCTCTCATGTGTTAAGGTGCTACCCAAGGACACACTTAATTCATGCTACTGCCCGAGGAAATGTGTGTCCTGCTCTAGGATACAGTGTCACACTGAGTTTGGCAGGTGCCATACACATTGTCTATTTGTCTGGTTGCTTAGCTGCCAAGCGTAAATAATTCGAAAATATCTGCAAGTGCTTTCCATCCTGGCATGTCTGTGATCCAGACCAATCCAGTCCATCCACTTCACATCACAGAAAACAAAACAAGGATATTTATACAGCTGTAACTTGTTGCAAGGCAAACTACAGTTAGATGAAAAGACACTGGGGAAAGAAAACATTTGTAAAAATGACATGCAAGGGTGGAACTGTTTGTCATTGTAACTAGAGCTTGCAAGGCTTGTTTAAATTCTGTCCCCTACTCCACTATTATTTATGGTTCAAGCATTGAATTCTATTAAAAACACATGATCTGGTAAAGCAAACTCTACTATTTGTTCATCTAATTCAATAGAGAAGGGAGCTTCTAAGGATCACTGCAATACTGAAAATCTGGGAACCCCCAAATCTTCATCTCTTGCTTCATTTCAGTCAAGACCACAAGGAGAATTATTTCCATGTGCAAACCTAGTGTTTGTAATCCTACAAAATTGCCCACAACTAGGTCCAACAGGCTGTTGGACACAACCCTTTCAACTTAAATGTTTTATTCCTAAAGTGCATGTCTACAGTATAAGGAAAATATTCACTGTCTTATAAATCAAATAATATGTTTTGGGCTGAATAATTACTGGCTAACAAGTACTACAATTAGTGCTTGTTTTATTTCTGTAGACTGGATCTTGCAGCCCACAAATCCCAGTATTTGGGTTCTAAAATAACCAAACTAGTCCAGTCTTGTTCTAATGTAATCCCAGTTCTAGTGCCCCAGGATGTCAGTCTCATCTAATGCAGTTTGCTGCTCACAGTTGTACAATGCACTGGTTAACCAGTTTGCCATCTGTGCAGATTTACTTTATTGCTTCCTGTGATACAGCAGCCAGGAATCCAAAGTCTAAAAATGCCTGCATTTGAGATTGGCACTCTGCTCAAACAGTCCTGAGCACCCCTCAGGTTTCTTGTGGCGTCCTTTGAATTCCAGCCAGTCAGCACTGCCAGACACATGTGAGTTTTGGAGAAGTCTCACCAGAGGCATGCCTCATTTCTGTCTAAATTTCATGCTGTTTAAAGTTGACCTAATTTTAATCAGAGCAGCACAGTTTATATCAGCATAACCCAATGCTGCAGCTGACACAGTCTTTTCCCACTGCCATGCCACGAGCATCTATGGCAGTGAACAGTAATCCACGTCAGGGGACTGACCTGAGTAAAGCCTTTCTTCCTCACTTCCAAAGAGGCTGGATTAGACCTGAATCAGCCAGTTCCCCAGTCCAGTGCAGTGCAATATAGGAACAAACAGCTGCACATGGGACCACTTTTCCAGGACTGGCTTACTTCAAATTCTTGTGGAACAGGATTGTCATCACCTGCAGCTGATGCAGGACCAAAGAGATGATGAGCTACAACCACTGTCAGCCTGAAGGTTGGCTTCATCCCCTTCCCCTTGCTGGCTCCTAAGCCAGTGACCATCCCACAGTGGGATCTATGCAGCATTCTTGTGATGCTGTTGTGCATGTTCACCCTGCCTTACACCAAAGGAAAATGAAAGCAACAGGCTGGATCTGAAGCATCTGATGGGGAGAGATGAAGGAGATAAATGATTTCTCCTGGTGATTCTTCCCCTGTCCATCAGTTCAAGATAAAAAAAACCCTCACAGCCAAGCAGGTTACTTCAGGAACAGAGAGAAAATTATCTGGAAGCTTCACATTTGAAGAGTAACTTGTGGACAAGTGTGAATCTTAGCTACTTTCAGAGGTATTTTTAAGTCCTTGTGACACTGCATCATTTCTCTCCTCTGCTTAAGTTTCTGTATGTGCCCACAACATAGGCTCCAGAGAGTGAGGAGCCATAGCTGCAGAGGAAGTGGTTGTCCCTTTGAACTGGCAACCACACAAGAGCTTTGGGATTTACAGTTTCCTCCCACTCCCTCAACACCTTCCCATCCTGGCCTTGACAGCTGCATACACAGAAGTTCAGGTGTGTGTGGGTGTTCTCTCTCTCCTACAAGTATAACAGGTAAGCCGGAGCAGGAAAAAAAAGACAAATAGTTAAAACAGTTAAAATCTGACCAGACACTGCTATTCCAACTCTCTGTTACCCTTAATGACAGGTCTGTATGCAAAGGGTCTCCCCTGAGCCACCGCAGTGACCCCAGAGGATGGAGCTGTGCCACAGTGCATCCTGGAAGGGCTCTGCCAGCCTGGCAGGAGCTGGAACAATGATTAAATTAAACAAGCAGCCCAGTTCAACATGCTCCAACCACTGCAGGATGTTTCACCCTTTAAACTCACAACTGAATGGATTCAGGAGCTGTTCTCGTGGAATCAGTGTTTGAGGATCAGCTCATCTCTGCTGGAGCAAGTCTCAGCATGGGATTCTCTTCCTAAGAGTCCTGAGCAGTTTGAAATCTCTAGGCAAGCTACAGGGCTGGATGCAGCCTCAGCATGAGCAGGGGATGTACCTCATCTTATTGTCCCTGCATGAGGGCAAGCAATGAGGTTTTACCATGCATGAATCATGTAGAAATTCAGATCCAGATAAGGAGAGGCAGATGTCCTCAGAGCCACCCCTTCTCTGAGGGATCCTACACAGACAGCATCAAGGAAGAAAAACCCACAGTGCAGTACTGAGAAAAAGAGGCTTTGGCTATAGGTTTCTGGGGACTTGCTTTATTTTTGGTACCAAATAGTGGGCCTGTTAGGAGATCTGACCTAAGGATCATCTTCCCCCAGAGTTCTACAGCACAACTCAGATTGCCTCAAAAGGAAAAACTAAGAGGAAGGCTCTGGAAGTATTGAGGAGGCTGGTTCTGACAGCAGTTTGGCATGTTTCTTCCTCCTAATTCAGCTGAAACTTCTCCAAAGGATCAGAAAGGCAGCAGAGGAGGAGAGGGAAAGTGAGGACTCAGGAGTCTCTGGGCTCTAACTACTTGTCATCACCCACACAGCCAAGGAGCTGAATAGCCATTTAGCTGCACTCTTCTGCACAGAGCTATGGCTCACTGCAACATGCTTTGTGTTACTGCACCAGGGAGACAGCCCCTTCCATAAAGCTGGATAAGAACTGAATTAAATACATTTGTGTTTTGAAAAAAATTACAACATAACATTTCAACAGTTGTGATTAATTGATATTTAAAATAGAGAGGAAAAATAAAGCCACGATACATTACTCACCCCTCGGCACTTCTGCTGGGACCGCGTCCGTAAGGATAATATTTACACAAGGAAAATTATACAAAACCACAACCAAAAACCAAACAACAACTACTCTCAGACACACACTTACCTGGGGCCCTTGTTCAGTTCTGGCATCAAAGGGGTCCCCAACCAGTCTTTTCTTGGCAAACTCCACGCTGCGCTTGACGAACTCGGGGTAGATCTGCTCCTCCACGAAGACGCGGGAGGCGGCCGTGCAGCACTGCCCCTGGTTGAAGAACACGCCTTGGTGGGCACATTCCACTGCCAAGTCCACTGTGAGAAGGCCCAGGAGGGAAAAGTGTTACCACATGCACAGTTCCAGCATTCCAGTGTTTCCAGACTTGTTGTTTTCCCTTCTCTTTGGAAAACCTCTTTAAAAAATGCTGACAATGGTCCACACCCATGGAAGGCACTCACAGGGCCTCACTGCCCCCAAACCAGATCTTTTATTGCATCCACCTCCCTTCCTGCCTTTTGTCTTGAGGTCTAGTTGGCCATAGTTCCTGATACTTTCTTCCACAAGGACTCACTGAAGGCAGTGACCAGTTTTTCTTGCTCTGGCAATTCTTGATACCATGCATTGGTTCTTAAGGACAAGTTTCAGTCATGATTTTTCAGAGAGCAGCATGCCAGCTTTGGCCAGCTCCTTGCAATCCTCACAATTAGCAGCTGGCACAAATACCTCTGATTTTCAATGTGTGCTGTGCAGGACTGGAGAGGATTTCACTGAAGCCAAATAGGATTTTCCAACCATTTTGGTGGTCACAGATTAAACATATCTCCTAGTACTACTGAGTCATGTAACAAAACTGCTATGAAACACAAGATGAGCCCTGCAGACCACCAGGATAGAGGTGAAGGCTGGATTAGATCAGGTCCTACAAAATTCCCCTGTCACAGGAAAGCCTGCAGAGGGGCTGCTTTGCAGAAAACTGCTCTTCCCAAGGCTTGGCTCAGGCTCTGCAGCACTGCCAACCAAAGACAAAGCCCACAGACAGCAAACACACAAGTGCAAGATTTAACTGCAACTGCAACCATCCCCAGGGAAGGCACCACAGGCCATGGGAATGATCCCCATGCTGGGGAAGAGCTCCAGTGCTGGGAATTTAGCTGCTAGAAAATGGAAAAGTACAAAACCATGGCTAATTCCAAGCCCTGCACCTGTGTAGATAGTGTGTCCTTAGAATTAGCCATGGTTTTGTACTTTTCCATTTTCTAGCAGCTAAATTCCCAGCACTCCAGGAATGCACAACTACACCCTGCCCTTGGACACAGGTTTCCTGCAGCCTTTGGGGTGGAAACAGCAGCCCTGTGAGCTGCCAGAGGGCAGCAGAGAGCCACAAAGCCCACCAACCCTGCATCCTCTGCCAGCAGCCCATACTCACAGTCTGCATCTGCACACACAATGCAGGGGTTCTTCCCTCCCAGCTCCAGCGTCACCCTTTTGAGGTTGCTCTTAGAAGCAGCTTCTTTGATCAGTTTGCCAACCTGTATCAGTGAGACACAAAGAGGACATGAGTTGTTTCCCCTAAAATCTCAAGTGTGATTCCAACAAGAGTGGAAGAGCCTGGATGGCAGCTGCAGCAGGTAGAGGTCAAGGAGAGCACTCTGAAATGCTTTAAATTTCCTAATGCTGTGATGTGTTGGGTCAAAACCAGCCCCAGAATTAAGGATTGGTTTAGGCAGGTCTGAAAGGGCAGGCTGTGTGGGAGAGCTACATCTGTATTCTGCTTCCAGAATTTAGTTAACTAATTTTGTTAGAAACAGTATTAATTACAACTATTTGGAACCTTTAGCTGTTAGGGCAGGATAATTTCTTAAGTTTGTTTGAATTTGCTCACATTATAATGTAATGTTTGAATTTGCTCACATTATAACTGCTTTTCTGAATTTTACCTTTGCACATGGAAACCTTACCTTTATTTCTGACTAAAACTGCTCTTGCCCTGGAGTGGAACTGTGAGGAAGGAAAGCATGTGGCAGCTGTCTGGCAATTACAGGTCTACATTTCTCATGGCTTGCCCTTGTTACTCGAGCATGACTCCTGAATCCAGGAGAGTTTTTCTCTAGTCACTCAGAGCTTATGCCTACAGACAGCAGAAATAAGTAATGCATCCCAGCTTTGCAAGAGGCATTACTGCAGGCTGGCTGGCCAAAGAGGAGTGAGTTAATAACCTAAGAGAAGAGATCTAGATGGGAAAATTCTCCTGGAGTTTAAGATCAGCATTTCCAAGCTGGCACTGAGCCCAAGTTGGGGCTTAATAACCAAGTCAAAATATATTTTGAGTTAGCTTCACTTCCTGGCTCAGAAACAGTAGCATTGTGCTGCAAATGCTGCAGAGATGCAGCTGAACTCACAGATGGGTGGAGGGGGAAGAAAACACTTCTAAATTACACATGCATTAGCAAAGGCTCTGTCTCCCTTGGTGTTTCCTGCACACCCATGGATTAGGAGACAAGCACAGTGTCTACATCAGTTTTTTGCCTACAGGCTCCAGCAGCTGAGATTTTCCTTCTGCCACTAATCCACTGGATACTCCTTTTTCATTAAAAACCCAAACAGATCCATGTGGGCTGGATGAGTCTATAAGCTCTATTGTTTTCACACAGCTAATGTCTCATCTGGGCTAAAAGTTTCTGATCTAGGATTTGGAGAGAAGCATGTAACTGAATAAACTCCAAGATCAGACCAGCTATCAAGAGAGGAAAAGCTCACTGTGAACTTTTACTTTATTGTGCTCTGCTTGTTCCCATGATCCCTGTACAGAACACAGGCTTAGCACACCTTTTCCTATGGGATAAGCACAGGATGTGCACAAAGCCACTAGATGGTAGTGTTGGTAAATGCTGCAGCTTTTGAGTGTTTGGAGTTACCTTTACCGACCAAGAACACCTTCCAAGGTAATTTGTTATCATTATATATTCACATCACACTCTGCAATGAAGAGGGCAGACTTAAGAATGGATGAATTCAGCAAATGCTCAACAAAAATAGCATTCCTCAAAGAAGTAAGAGACAATTTGCCTCAGCTGCCTCCACTGGTGTGAGCATTTCCATTCTTTGGACACTGCCTCTGTTCTGGAGGTGCAGATCTACTGCAAGAAACATCTAAAGCAGTCAGTGGAAAAATGTTCCCTTTTCTAAGCAAGCTTTTGTTTGCGGATTTTCAGCAGTGATTACTGCAGTCAGATTTGTTTGCATGTCTCAGCTCTGCTCAATTCCATGGTCTTGGCCAAGCCAAATGCACTTTTCCCATGTAGGTATGGAAAAGGATGGCTGGAGGTGATGGATAGTGCAGAGGTCTTGTGGCCATCCCTCTCATAAACAAGCCAGACACATCTATTTACAGGAAAAAAGCTAAATAGAAGGTGCTTTACTGTGCAGGCCTCAGGATGAAGCTCAAATGTTAATCCCCTCCACGTCAGCAGAGAAGGCCTTGGGCACAAAGCCATGTTTTTATTTAAGTCCTAGTTCCTCAGAGGTAAATAAAGCCAAGGAAGAATTGTTCAGGGCTCTGACTGACATGTTTTCCAGTTGCAGGGCAGGACTGGCAGGCAAACATGCCCAGCAGCTCCACTGGGTCAATGACAAGATGTGAAGTCACTGCCAGCCTGCCTTCCCTGACGTCAGAGCCCCTTTTCCTACAGTCCTTACAGAAATGTGGTGGTTTGGCAAAACCCAGCCCTCAGAGATGTGGGATTATTACAAGCACAAGGATCTGAATTAGACAAACAACAAACACTTCTGAGAAATCCTATCACATGGAATGTGCCAGAGGAAGTGCTGGTTATACAGAAGTCACTGACATTTCTTAGATCCAGTCTTGTATGGATGACAGCTTAGAAGAGAAAGCAAAGAGGAACAGCAGGTGTCTTTGAGAAATCCATCACCTACCTTGGTTGATCCAGTAAAAGCAATTTTATCAATGCTGTCATGGGTAGAAATTGCAGCTCCAGCTGTGGGGCCATAGCCTGGCACAATGTTCACCACACCTGGAGGGAAACCCACCTGAAACAGAGATGAAAACAGCTCTGCAGAGAATTTGAGAGCACAGCTCATCTCCCAGGAAGCCTGGGTTAGCTGTACTACACTCTGAGCTCTCACCACATACATCCCTGTTTTCCTGACTCCCCAGTACCATGGCTGCATGCTACCAGCTGCAGTAGATGTGGGTGAAGCTAACAGCCATGCTTAGGAAATGCCAAGTTTCAGTAAGAATTCTTGGAGAAGTCCCAGTTTCAAGCCAAAAGAGAGTGAGTCTTTTGGCCAAACTTGGCCCCTGGCTACTGCAGAGCAGCTGCAGCCAAGGGGTAAATGAATGAAAGTTTGTTTTGAACAAAGGTTGACATTTGTGGTTCTTCAGGGACCAGAGGGATTAAGAAGGCAGTAAAACCTCACTAGATGATGGGGCTAATAAAACAGGAGTACAAAAGCAGATGGTAACAGGACTTATGCAAGTTTCCACCACATTTACAACCTAGATTAGCCAACTAGTAATTTTGCCAAAACAGACAAATGGCAAAACTTCAGGTGAAATTCTAGTGCAAGGAGAACTGAGGGACTGATTGATTTGGTTTTAGTTCCTGAAACAAGAGTTCCAAGGATTATTGCTCATCTAGGTCAGCCTTCCCTTACTACTGATAGCACAAAGTTGTTTTCCTTGCAATTTCTAATGATGAAATTCCAGAATATACAACATATGCTTCATTTCCTATGACTTTTTAATACAAAATCTCAATAAATGCAATTTCTTTTTTAATAGAGAAAAAAAAGGAAGCAATTGCTCATGTACTGCCTTGCAAAAAATTATCCTCATAAGACTTTTCCCCCCTTTTTTCTTTTCATAAATTGGAAGGGTGGTCACATTTCTTCTATGGATGTGACAATGATAAAAATGCATTTAATGGAGTTTGCATCTTGGCTAATGAGTTTTCAAGCAAATACTGCATGTCAAACTGTGCAAGTAATGATGTTTGGAGTCAGCAGCAAAGCCACAAGGAAGTAAGAAATTGGTTCAAAACACCCTGAGCCAAAAAGTTTTTTTCTGTTTTTCAGCAAAAATGAAAGCCAAATATTTTGGTTGGCCAAAAATTATTTCATTGAACGTAACACATAGCTTTGTGTGTGTGGCAACATCTTCTACATCCTTTTAAAGATGAAAACAAAAAAACTCTAACTCATTTTTCTGAAAACTGAAAAGAATTTAGCTAATTTTGGGCAGAGAAAGGAGCATCTTCAAATAAAATTATTGTGCTCTAATTACACTCTTGCCTTGAAGGACAACTGTGAGAAACAGCAATCTTAGAATTTCAGCTGAAAAAAAAATAATTTTACCAGAATTGAATGGTATTTTTTTGGGGGGAATGCTATGCCTGTGTGTGAGGAGCTGCATGTCAGAGTCAAAAAAGCAGTGGTGTGGCAGGGCTCAGCAGAAGTTATCACAACTGCACCCTGTACTCATTCACTCATCTTGTGTAACCTCATTAAGCCAAGTAACTGTAGGAGATACTTAACTGGTATTATTTTTCCACTTCCTTTCCTGATGGAAGAGCCCTAAGTGACAATTATCAACATATCTTTCTGTTTTCTCCCAGACTAAGCCAAGAAAGGACAAAATCACTGTTTGACTGAGCCTAACAAACAAACAGAGGCCAAAGTCCATCTTCAACACCTTTAGTTTTCCTCAGTCCCTCACATCCATTGCTAAGGAAGCTGATGTACTGAGCAGTGCTGGAAGGTTCTGTGCATCTCCCACCACCTCTGCACAATTAACAGACCTGTTGGCACACAAGATCCTACCTGACAAGCCCTAAACCAGCATCTTAAAATCCCAGCCTATCATCTTGCCTTTATTTCAGTTGACTTTACAGGCCAGACACAACTACATTGTTCTAGGAACCACAGAAATGACGAGGAATTGTTTCCCAGGGCACTCTGCCTTGGTTGAATTATCCCACTTAAAAACAACAAACACAACACTGCTGTCTAATCACACTTTTTTGTCCCATTGTCTAATAAAAGTGAGCTGTTGCCTTTCCCTCATTTGGGAGAGGGGAAGGTAGGGGAACAAAAGCATCTTTTTTTCCCTCTCTGCAGCTTCCTGATAAAGGAGAAAAAGGCACAGGTTTTGTGATGTTTGCCGCCTCCTAGCCAGCCACAAAGGCTTTTGGAAAAAAAAGACCAAAGACAGAGGTTGTTCTCACTTTCCTTTGTGAGCCTGTTGAAGCTGGAAGTCTGTTTGTTATGCTCAGACTCTTCAAAAACTAAAAACCAATTCAAAATTCAGCCTAGCTTATGACCTTAAGAGAGCAGAACCTGGAGGGGCTGCTGAGATGTCCTCACCTCCTTGATCAGAGAGCCAATGTAGAGCGCCGTGAGCGGAGTTTGTTCAGCTGGCTTCACCACCAGGGTGTTCCCACAGCACAGGGCTGGTGCCATCTTCCAGACCAGCATCAGCAGGGGGAAGTTCCACTGCAAGAACACAAAGCACTGCTCAGATCAGCCTGCCACAGTCACCTACTCACTCCCATGCAGCCTTTTCCCAGCTCTGGGAGGAAAGGAAAGCCACAAAGAGGAGCGTCTGTTTATAATGCTGTGTTTGCTTGGGCTAAGGAATACAACTTCCTTGATTTCCCCCTGAGATCCCTGATATTGCTGGCAGTCCTCACAGTAATCCTGTAAGCTGGACAACCTTCTGCATGATGTGACCTCATTCTTTGAAGGAGTTTGATCACATTTTGTGTAGGATTTTGGCTCTTCACAGATACTGTGTCGGAGGCAGTTTCCTGATGCATCACTTCTGTACAACATCTGTACATGGGGAATTACAGAATGCAACTACTCATTGAAAAAAAACTTATTTTTTCTCTGTTAAGCACTGGCTGGGTAGTTAGGAGTTATATAATTTCATTCAGTTCCAGTTTTATAAATAGGAAGCTGCAGTGAGTGTTCAGTCATGGAAATCTAAGGGAGGTCTCATACTTCCTTCATATTGTAAATTGTTCCTTTCCAATTAGTTTTCTAATCTGGAATTAGGAACCAGTCCACATCAGTTCTCTCTGTGCTAATCTCTTTCATGTATATTTGGGGATCTTGGAGTCTAAGCAAGAAGTGGAAAATCTAGCTCACACTGAATCTCAGAAAGGTCATTTGGCAGCAGAAAGGATTTTTTCATTAAAAATAATTAATGCTGCTTCAGGGATGATGGAAGCAGGCCAACAGCAAGGGGACTTCTTGTCAAAAGCCAAGCCAAGGGCCTTCAGCTATCAACAAAGAAGCCAAGTATGTCAGGAATCCACAAATTCACACTTACAAACAAATGAGCAGTGTAGCTTTTGAGCCATGAGTTCTATTCTAACCCTGAGACAAAGCAGAATTTGGTCTCAAGTGTTATTCTTCAACTTGCTTCACCCTTTTCCCCAGACCTGTTCCATTTCAGTGATCTTCTCCAATGGCCACATCCCATAATTTGCCAATTTGTCTCTTTCTCCTAAGTTTTCTTGGAGGCCTGGCAGCTTGAGCCATTTACACCTACACTACTTTTCTACAGTTTCAGAGCATGAAATCCCTCCATTAGGAGCTTTCTGCTGCAGTGCCTGGTGAAAGCAACAGCAAAGGACTCAGGGCTGCCTCATGATATCACCTTGGGATAAAAATCAGCCATATGCTGCACTTCCTAAGAACTTCTCTAGCTAAATAAAAATAAAATATTATTTAAATATAGTCCAGCCATAGGAGAAAGGGAGGATTGGTAATTTCTCTAGGGAAACACAGCCAGGACAGTGACAGAATCTTTTTCAATCAAGTAGAAATACAAACCCACAGGCTGTTGGTGTTATCGAGATTGAACTGGGAAAAAAAATTGGAGAAGATTTGTTCTGAGTAAACTGAAGACAGATGTGGTTTTGTTGACCCCAATCATTCTTTATACAAACTTAGTGTTGATCTTAAGTCAAATTTGTTTCTGTACTTTCTGTTGTATTTACTGCTGGTCTAGGGTCAACCTGAGATCTTCCAAGCCCCACTCTGTCCCCTACAGTGACCTTCCAAAGCATCCTGCATGGAGGCTTTCAAAGGGATGTCTTCCAAAGCACTGCTGAGTGCCAAAGGTGGCTGAGAGTGACAAGGAAATACCTTTTAACTGCTGATCAGTGTGAGGAACCTGAGATTTTGATCTTAAATCAAACTCTGCTCACCAGCAGTCACAGTGCTTGCTCAGCCAGAAAAGCTCTGAAGCCACCAAGAGAAATGTTTGATAACCTCCTACTTTGCCTCACCCTGACACTGCCAAAGAGACCATGTCCTCTCATCACCTGGGGTATAAATTCAGTCCTGCTGAAAGGAAAAGCAGAATTTCCCCAGACATCTTTGGGATCCAGACCTGGTATTCCCAGGGTCCAGCAGATATGCTTTTTTTCCAGTCTTATCTCAAAAGTCAAAACCCTCCAGGAGCTCTTATTGATCCAAGTACCATATAATCATGGAACATCCTGAGTTGGAAAGGATCCACTGGGATCATCAAATTCCATCTCCTGGACCTACACAGGACAGCAGCAATGCTCCACCACAGGTCTGAGAGCATTGTCCAAAGACTTCTTGAGCTCTGGCAGACTTGGTGCTGCGTCCAAACAGAATCTTGACACAGCACCATTTGCCTCACAAATTGTAGGATACCACATTCAAAGCTTGGTATCCTACAATTTGTGAGGCAAATGGGATACCACATTTTACAACCAGACAGGAACAAAATCTGTCTCCCATGAGCTGTAAAGTCTTCCTGGCTGTCTGTTGAAACAGAGCAAGGAACACATGCTAACACTGGAGGCATTCCAAGAGCTGGCCACACTGTCCCCTCAGCAGAGAATGAGACCTCAAGGAAAAGAAAACTATTCATGAGATTTAATCCCAGAAAGCTCAGAAAGCAGCCAGACACAATTAATTGATAATGGATATGATTTAAAACCCAAAACTATGCATCAGCACGAGGCAGCAGAAAGCCAGCACTCCTCATGACGAGCTGGTTGTCCCAGCAGCGTGAGAGTCAGAGCTCTGACTGCTCTCTGGTGACTGGTGTCAGCCTCAGAGAGCCACAGAGCATCTGATTAGGAGACCCACCCTTCCACTGCAGAGCACTCCTGTTGCCAAGAGCAATTGGCATGGGGGTAAAACACAAAACTACATCAGGCCACGGAGATGGGAGTTCCCTGCAGAACAGCTGTGCTTAGCCAGGCAGCACAAGGCTGCAGGGGAGGATGGAGAGCACATGGAATTTCCAGTTCTGTGTGAGATGCAGGGCACCAGCACTGTCACTTACTGGGGTTATGGCTCCACAGACACCCATGGGCTCGTGCCGGGTGAAACAGACAAAATTCTCATCTGCAAGACAAGAGAGTAAAAGGGCACAACACAGTCAAAATCCTCACTTTTTACAGAAGGTGTGTTGGGGACAGAACTAAGCCCCTGTTAGACAGGGAACACTGTCTGTTCATCCTGACTCATGTCTTTGTCCAGATGAAGATCTGAGTACAGGTCTTGTGCCAGCCTGAAAGCCAAACACCACTCACAGTCACACAGGAACCTTTTAAATCCAGGGTTCAGTTCCTTCTGCAAACTCCCTGTGTTGAGGCTGAGGGGAGGATAACTCATTATCACACTGATATGAGCAAACATAAATTTCCTTCAGATTGTGTCCTACTGAAAAACACAAAGCACTTGTCTCCCTGAGGGAGAGTTTTTAAACCCACTTTATACAGGAATCCTGTTCAGTGTGAAAGGATTTACACTCCTGGTAAGAAATCATAACAAGATGAAATTCTGGAACTAAAGCAGTACTATTCACCTTAAAATACTGCTGCTGCTCTTTCACAGAGAAAGCAGGAAGAACATTTGCCTTTCAAATTCATTCTTGCTGAACACCTAGTTTCTTTGGGAAGATGTGACAGAGAGCAAGAACATTTCTAGTAATGCTTTTTCAAAGTGATTTCAAGTCAGGACAAACAAGGAGTGTCCAGACAAGCAAAGCTTTACAGCACTCTGAATGAGGGTGACAAATCTCAGTTTATATGACTGACATGGCTCCTTTTGCTGTCTGCACAGCCTGAACTAGCTCAGTCCTCCAAAGCCCTTCCTCTGGTGACTAATTTCTGTCTGCAGTGTCTGTCCTTCACACAGCCTCAGTGATCAGGCACATGCAGGGACAAAAGAGGCCAAATTTGAAAATGCTCCATATTGCCCATCATGCCACAAGGACACCCACTCTCTTAACTTGCTCTCACCAAAACCATATTTGAACTTCTATACCTGGACTAAAGTGTTGCCTCTGTGTGACTGCCCTGAACAAAAGTTTCTCTTAATAAAGCAACAGAAGAGCCCACACATTATTTTCCAGAGATCTATCCAGGCATTAACCAAGTTCTCCCATTAGTTTCAATATCGAAACACATCTGCTGAAAATGCATCCTAAGATAGAAAGGAAGTGCAGGCTATTTTTGCAGGCTTTCAGAAGGCAGCCTTTCCATGGATCTCCCTCCCCTCAAGCCTGATCCCATCCCAGCTCTGAAGGTACTCACCCACTGGAATAGTTCTGCCCTGAATTTTATCAGCCCATCCAGCATAGTACCGCAGGGTTTTGATGCAGCCTTCCAGGTCAATGAAATAAGCCTGCAGGAAAGGTTTTCCTGTGTCCATTGTTTCCAGAGTCTGAAAAAAACCAATGCATGCACTGTCAGACAAGTCAATGTTTTGGGGTTTTTTTCTTAAGAAAGCTTTTAAAAAACCCTCTCATCAGTCTTATTGTGCCTTGTTCTGAAGACATGGAATGTTCTTCTCTCCTCTAATGAGCTTGTTAATACAAATAATGCAGAAGGGAAAGCAGACACAGCATCTAATGTGCACAGGAGCTGCTTTGTTCAGGGGCACCTTCCAGAAGCCTCCAGAAGGTGAGTGTGGGTGGGATACAGGCTGGGGCACTGGTCAGAAACAATGTGAGTATCATGATTTCACCCTAACTGACCTTCCAGCACAGATGTTCTGGAGTCCAGATGGTGTCACTGAAATCAGGCAGAGCTACTTTCCTTCTATTAGAAAAAAAATAATCTAATTTTTCTACTTTATAAGCCTAAACCCAACCTCTGAAAAGCCTTCTGGTAAAGTAACCTTTGTGCTCCTATCTGTGCTGAGCCCAGGGCAAGGCAGAAATTGCCCCACTGAAGCTGCACTGGTGCTGATCAGCTCTAAACAAAGTCCAGGCTGAGCCTGTGTCCCTCACACTGTTCTGACATTAGCTCAGGGAATGCTTTGTTCTCCACTCAGGTCATTAAATGGGATATTGGTGCAAATGGCCAGCACATCCATAAAGGAAGTACTATCCCCTGGTAGATTGAAACATCTTTGTTTACACATGAAGTCATACCCTGTCATGCTCCACAGACATCAGGGTCCAAACAGCACTCAAACAGACATTCCCCTTGGAATGGCAAGAATTGTTATCCACTGAATGTCTGCTAAAACAACTGATTTGTATAAGTCATTGCTTAGCACACAGCCAAGGCAGCCAGGGATGGATTTCTGCAGTGCAAACAGGAATGCCAAACAAGTCCTCCCAGACCAGAAGGACCACAGCAAGCTTGAAGTGTGTTCTGGTTAAGGGAAAAGGAGGGTGCCCCAAAGTCACATCAAAAAGTGAGCAGCAAATAAACAGGGTTTATTCACACATGCACATATATATCTGTATTTCTTTTCTTCCCTCTGACTTGCTGCCCAGAACTGTCTTCAGAACAAAATGCTTTGGTTTTGCCCTGCTGAAACTGAAGGCTGTCATGTGGTTGAGTGACACTGTGTTGGGGAAAGAGACCCAGCTCAGAAGAGTCACACAGGTACGGGCTCCTGAGCACATCCCACAGGTGTCAATTCCCACTGGCCTCAGCAGGGCACTGGCTCAGTTACCTGCACATCTGACAGCATGGAGTGTCATAAATGCATTTCCCTGAAGGTAAAAATGCAGCACTGAGCTGGAGAGTGCTGAGATCCAAGAGCTTAGGTGGAGATAGACAGCAGCCCCAAGCTGAGATCTCTGGGTGCCATTTGGAAAGATGCACAAGACCTATAGAGTCCAAAGGCTTCTACCAACAGAGCACATTTTAAGTATTAATATATTTAATCACTTCAATAACTAGCTAAATTTCTGCAAAAATCAACTATGTAGAAGAACTGACAGCCTTCTAAACCCCTAAAGTCCTGCAGAAAAAGGAACAAAGCCATGACTCCTGTCTTCTGCCCTTCATGAAGGGAGAGAACAGAAAAACATGAGGTAGATAGGGATACACCAGAGCCAGCTGTTGCTGGCTTATCACTGCTCCCAGTACTCACTGCCAGGATGACTCTGTCCCTCTCCAGGAGATCAGCCAGCTTGTGCAGGAGTCGTCCTCTGCTTGGGGCATCCATCTGTCTCCATGGAGAGCCCCTCTGGAACGCTGCCTTCGCTGCCTCCACTGCGTTATCCACATCAGGCTACACAACAGACACAGGAGAACCTCAGGTTACAGGGAAGGAGCTGGACAATGGCACAGAAACCCTCCTAGTTGGTGCTGTGGTGACCAAAACCAAGTTGTCTAACAAAACCACTTTCATTTCACTCCTGGATTTGAATTCAAGCCTGGAACATGTTTTATGTTTGGCCTGGGCTCATAAACAACCTTGAGGTCTGAATACCAATTGGGTCTTTCAAGGGTAATTTAATGTAACTGACTTGTTTATAAAATAATCCAGAATCATGTTCCTGCCAATACAGGATGTGACACTGGGGGAGGATGAAGAATCATGACAGGCCACTGGCCTACATGAATTAGCCTCCTCTAAACAAGTGTGGGCAGGAAAATCCCCCATGAGATCAAGATTTTACCCAGGGAAGTAATTACAGCTCAGATCCCACCATCCAGTTCCCCTGGAGCCCATGCCAAGGCAGTTAACACACCGAAAATCACCCTTAGATCCTAGAACACATTCCCAGAACATTTCTACCAGATGGAAAAGGTTTTGCTGTTCAGTGCTATGACAAAGACATTTCCCCTACACACACTGAGTGCCATTGTCCCTTCATCTCCCATCCTTTGGACCAAATCCAACTCTGTTTAACCAAGTTACCAACCAGATGGGGAGCAAATTCCTCTCTTCCCACACCTTCACCCCTGGAGTTTCATTCATTTGCTCTGGCCACTATATGCCCTGAACTCCTCCCATCACCTCACATACATTGATTAAAACAGTGAAGCCAAGGGCTCCCAATCCAATGGAATCTATGGAACACTGCCACCAACACCCACAAGGCCAAGGCTGTACCCCAAGCATTGATAAAGCTTTGGACAGATTCCTGCTGTATGTAAAGCCTCATTTCAGCTGATGGAGACCTTGCACCTCACTGCAATATCTGGCTCAAAAGGCTGGGAAAGGAGGGAGGGTGTCAGACCTTGATCATTCCTCCCAGCACTACACCAGTTGTCTCATCTATTTCTTTTCTCAAGTCTTGTTTGGATTCAATAAGGAAATGAGCCTCTGCACTGATCCAACAAGGTCTGGCCACATCCCCCTCACGGGAGGGGATGTGTGGTGCTCAATCCAGAAAAAATGTTGTAGGGAGACATCTGCCTTCATGGTCTCAACTGCAGTCATCACCCAAGGCAGTGGCACCTTACATTAAATTTGGCTGCATTTCTTTACAAGCAATCACACAGCTTTAAACAATCTGATCTATACTGTCAGGAAAAGAGTTCCATCCTTCTGGAAGAGCACTGGTGGGAAGCCATTGGAGGAAGCTTGTGCTGCCACAGGATGGCTCTGGATGGGCAGAGGTGCCCAGGGCCACTGAGCACAGCCAGGCAGGTCCTGCCTGGGGCCACCACAGGCCTTTGAATGGCTCTCTCTGCTGCAGTTGATGTGCATTCACATTGGCACATCACAAAAGCCAGAAGGCACCACCAGCCACTGCACACTCATGTATCCCCCATCCTGCTGGAATGAAGGCTTGAGCTGAAAGAAGGCAAGATTTTATGTGACAGAGCAGGCAAAGGAACATAAGTGTGTCAGGTTTAAACAAGCCTTTCCTTAGCAGCAATTAATTAGTTCTGCAACCAGGCTGGGAGCACTGATGTGCAGGGAACTGGGTCTGCAGTGGCACAATGCCATTGGTGCTGAGGGGCTTCCCTCCACCCTGGCACTCAGAACAGGAGTGAAACAACTGCATGGGCAGAGGAATCCAGTGCATGCCCAGATCTTCCCCAGCCTCTAAAAATGGGAGCATCTGAGCCCTGCTGCAGTTCCTGTAGAGACAAAAATGAAGACAACCATCTTTCTCAGACATTCTGGGTACAAATATTGGCTCAGAGATTGCAGTCACTGTCACACCGGCTTTCCCTGAACACCCTCAGGGTAGCACCACCAAGTGATATCCTGAGAGCCTTTCTGCACAGCCTCAATAGGCCTGAGAGACCAGCAAAAACAAGGAAATCCTTCAGGAAGGCTGAAATGCCATTCTTAATCCATCCTGTTATGACTAGGCATTAGGGGAGTCTGAATGGCATGTTCATTGCAGGCATGTTGCAATAGGTAGGCACAAGGCGTGACAAAGTGACTCTGAGCTGTCAAGGTGCCAGGAACAGCCTGTGGTGCACAAAACCACAGCAGGAGGAGATCCATGCATCCTGGTGCTCCACTCGGATCTATAACAGATTTACTGAGCATTACATAAAAAGCTCCACTAAGAATATTAAGATTGCAAAGTCTTTACAGTATTGGGAAATGCCTGCAAACCTTCATAGCCACCTGGGGTGCTTGAATTATGATACAAGCTCCAGTTACACAATCACATACCTCCCCCCTGAACAAACTGAACACTGCTCTTTGTTCTGAGCTGCCTCGTCCATCTTTCTCCTCTGCCTCAAGTCCTGCTCTCTGTTGCTCCTTTCTTCTTTCCCATCCTCTTTTCCTCTCTCCTGCCCCAGCACAGGCAGCAGAGCACAGTGAAGATCTTCACCCCACTGGCTCTGTGAGTGGGGAAAACACCTGCAAAAAAGCCTTGCTCTGCTTCAATCTCAGGGTGCCCCAGAGTGCTCCAAGTGAGGAGATGTGCCAGGAATGGACACACCCACTGGGGACCCTCTTTCTTCAGTTCACCTACTGACTTCTTCAAAAAGCCTCCCCTGTGCACATCTTTGGAAAGGCACTCTTCTGACATAAAAGCTGTGACATGCTCATGCCCTAAGTCAGAAGGGGTTCCCTGACCTGCTTCCCTGCAAACAGTTCACACATTGAATTGCTTTCAGTTCCAAACAGCATCCTAACAGCCTGAAATGTCCAAAATCATTATTGAGGGCACTGCAAGTCTGCTGTGGTCTTACCTCAGTCTGTCACTACAATCTGAAAGGGACAGGGTGACTGTGAACAAATCCCTCTCACAACCCTTCAAAGATCCACGTGAGAGTGAACTGTTTAGAAATGATCACGACAGAGACTTGACAGCCACAGCTGTGGACCTGCTGCCCATGCTCTGAGCTGGGCACTGCTTTGAGGAAGGAACACTTCTCCCCTGTCCTTGATGGATGTCAGCAAGCTGCTAGAAGGAAAAAGCCTGTCTCCAAGTGTTAGGGACAGCACCAGAGTTACTCCTTTTCCATTATCAACCTGGCAAACAGTTGGACACTAAGCTTTTATTTGTCAGGTATATTCCAGCATTCAATGGAAACTTCCACCATTTTATTTTCAGGGTGTCTTTTCCCACACAGACTTCTCTTTATCCCTCAACTGTCCCATCAAGGACAATTCTCTAACTAAAGAACAGACAACAAAACCTTTGCTTGTAGGCTTATAAAGCATTGGCCAAGTTTCAGCACCAGACTAAACTGTCATCGTGAGATATCAGCTGCCAAATTTCCACCCCTCACGTGCAGCCTGAGCAAAACACTCTGCGTGGCCAGGGAGGGGCAGGTTTGTGTTCAGGGCTTGGGAAGGGGAGCTCTGCTCCCAGCCCAACCTTGGCAGAGCACAGCTGCAGGCAGCAGCAGGAGCTGCCACCCCTGCAGTGGCACTGGCCAGCACAGCAAGCACAGGGGGACAAGGGGATAAGGCTCTGGACAGCACCACTGAACACAACTCACCACTTCCTGTGGTGACTGCAGCAGACTGGAGTTACAGCCCCAGAGTGGGACAAACCAGAGCAAGGGAAGCCTCAGGGACCTTGGTTTGCCAGAAGAGGGTGGGATGTGGTCAAGTGCCACACCAGAAAGCAAACAGCTATCTGGGGATGGTTGTCACCCATTAACTCTTTTTAATTAATCCAGATCCAGGTCTACTCCCCACTCAGTTTCTTGGAAAAATCTAGTTAGACCAAAATATTCTTTTTAAAAGGTGTGATGTAGAAGAGGCTTTCAGCACCCAAAGCACAGCTAGCTTACAGTTTTGGCTGCAATTTCCACCAAGAAATCACTCACCTGTACTGAGTACTCAGGGGAAGAGATCTCCACTGACTGGAAAAGTTTACAGTGACCCTCCTGCAAGCTAGAAGCTGAATTCAGACAGGGACAAATCTCAAGGAGGCAAAACTGGCCTGTTGTTTCTGTATAACAATTTTCTTTAGCCAACATTGAGAAGCAAGCACAAACTGCACACATAATACTCTATAGCTGCTTGAGAAGACACTTAGCTCAGGGAACAATAAGCATGTCATGGTTTCTGCCTATCAAAATACAGTTGCATCAGAGTCAGCTTCAATTCCACTGTTTACATGCCACTGCAATTAAACACAGTTGTGTCCTACCCAGTCAGGATAAAGAAATGACACAATGTTTGGTTCTGCCTCAGTGTGTAATTGCCCCATGGATGCACAGATCCCCAGTGGCAGTAAGTCCTGGAGGCTGCCTCACAAGCACTGGACAAGCTTAAATACCAAGAAAAAGAAGTCAGTGCAGGCAGAAATGGCCACGCTGCCCATCACTTACTGCCCACAGCAATGAGCTACCAAAGCCCTGGCACAGCACAGCAGCTGTGAATCACCTTCCCATGACTTCCTGCACAAAGCCAGATGTTGGCCCAGCTCCTTTCCATAGGTCACACCAGTTGGCCCATACATGATGGGCTGTTTTGGACAAAAACAGCATCACATGTGATTGTTCCGCACCTCAGGCTGTTACCAAACCCAAGCAGTAACATCTCAGGTTACTCTCCAGCACACTAGAGGCTACTAAAGCTCTTGAGATACTGGTTTGGTTTTAGTGAGAGCTGGCACATTTGTGCAGGAGACCAGAACCCACAATACCAGCTAGAAAAGCAGCACCACATCTCCAGCAGCAAGTGGTCAGTGTTTGCATGACCAAATTTAAATTCCCCCAAGCACTCAGGTTATTTGTGTTTAAAAAGGAGGAGTTTCAGTTCAGTGTCTCCAACAGGCTGCCCTGCAGCTGGGGTATAAACCACCCCCAACACAGGGCCCAAAACCTGTCAGGGGTGAGCACACACCGTCATTGCTATTTCCTCAGGCTGGCTACTTCCTTCCAGTCTATGGCACAAGAATGATGCTCAATCTCATTCCTCTGACAGTGTTCAGCAGCCAGTTCCTACCAGGGAAAGTGGACAGCTGGACAAGCTGGACAGGACTGATGCCACCCAGCCCATGTAATTCTTGAGCAGCACATCCAGTGTCCCAGACCTCCAGCCCAGGCTGGCCAGATGGATGCTGCTGTTAAAAGCCAGCTTTTCCTCTGTGTGCTTCCCTACAAAAAGAAATCCTCTGGAAAATGTCTTTTGCACTGTTTGTCCAACAACACTTACCTTATCTCCTTCCTCAATGTCACAGATTTTCTCCAGAGTTGAAGGGTTGTAGGTGGGGAACTTCTTTCCACTTGTAGACTCGTGCCATTCGTTGTTAATAAATATCTGAAGAGAGAGCAAGGGGAGTGGGATGGGCAGGAGAAAGAAAAACAACTTATATAGACAAAAAAAACCCACAAGTGCTTCTCAAAGGTCCAGAGGCTCTTCAACTTCCATCCATGGCAGAGTCAAGTGTGCTCAGGCTCTCTCCAAGGGACTGCTGGCAGTACAGAAGCATTTCTACAAATCTTGTGCACCCAGTAAGTTTTGAGGCAGAGGAAGGCAGAGCACAGGTCCCACAGAGAACAACACTGGAATTTAGCAGTGAGAAATGGGCAGTTTTTGAACTACATCTCCATGGGAACAGCAAGCAGACCCCAAGAGAAATTGTATGGTTGAGGCAGAAGGAGGCCCCTGTGCCATGTTGCTGCACAATTATTACTTGGCTGTTGGTGCCCTGCCCTGGGCCACCTCCACAGCTTGCTCCCCTCTGGCAGTGTCTGCAGGAGGAGGGTTCTGGCTCGGCTCTACCCCACCATGCCTTGTCACAGGCCAGATCAAGCCTCCCACGTCACTTGGAGTCATCTGTGACAAGATTTAAGTGTTTCAAAATATTGCATTTCCAGAGCAAGAACAAACAGTCCCAGCGTTGCGTAACTGAAAATGCATTAAATACTGGAGTGTTGTTACTCACTGTAAACAGAGCATGAATACCTATATACAATTAATTGATTCAACATGCATCTTATCCACGCTGTGATCTGACTTGGCAGTGTTATATTTTATAAATATACTTTAAATAAGATTAGATGAAGTAATCTTTATTAGTAGCCTGCTAGTGGCTGTAAGCTAGTACTTTTATTTGGAGGCCATCCACATTTGCAATCTTGTTTATGAGTCTCTACACACCACCAGGAGATTAATGTTGCATCTCTTACATTCGGAATTCCCACTGCTTTGGGTCATAGTTTTCTTTCCTTGGGCAGCTTTTTTTCCTGAAAGGACTTTGTCTTATTATTTCTGCATAAAGCACCCATAGCGTAATTGGTGTAGAAGCTGCACTGCTGGACCCACCTGTTTCACACAGGCTGAGAAAAAGAAAATTTCACAAAAAGTGTTGCCAAGGGAAGTCACAAGAAAAGATACAATGTTAGAAATATTAACTCCTGTTTAGGACAGCAGTGCTCCCAAACTACCTCTGTTACCAAAGTGCTACATTTTAACATTTACACATTTTAACCTCTGTTTTCTTTTATTTCCCTAATGAAGAAAAGTTGTACTATAAATATTGTGGGAAATATGACAGGAACCATAAAATTACAGTATCAGGTATATGCTCACAAACGAAGGATTGGGGAAGGATACTGATCTTCCCTTTGCATTCAACACTAATTCTGTGGGACAGTGATGTTCCTACTAAAGCAGTAAAACACCAGAGTGACAGGATCAGGCTGTTTTAAATGTAACATATACACTGGCATCATTCTGGGAATCCACCACATATCATGAGTCCTTGGTGCCAGGAGTTGAAATCAAATTGAACAGTATATCCACAGTTCACGCTTCATAGCCAGAATTTGAGACAAGCAATTGTGGACAGATCTCTTCCATCACACACCCATGACAAGCACTAAGCTGCTCTATAAGAAAGATCTTTGTTGAAAAACTTTGCCTCTCCCCCAGCCCCATAACTGGTAGAACCAAAAATAAAAATCTCCTCCAAGCAGAGGGAACCGTGCTGTCAGCTGTAAACATCTGGTGAAACTCAGAGCTTGCACAAAACCCCTCACAGTTTTATGAAAATTGACTGCTGCTCATTATTTTCTCAGATGCACCGGGAGCATCAGATCAAACATCAAACTCACACTTTTAATTTATGTTGGTTTCCACTTTAAAGATACAACCTTGACTCTTTCGGCGCTCACAGTCTCTGGCAAAACTGTGGAGCATAAACTGCGTGTTTGAAAACACACACGGCTGCAGGATAAGATCCCTAAGGAGTGTTTAAAAGTGTTCACAACAATAAAAATAACAAAAACCAGAACATTTGGATGTTTAAGAAGAACTCAAATGGCCGTGTCCATTTTGGACGCAGGAAGGAGCTGTTTGTGCTGCATTACGCCATTCTGCAACCAGCAGCTGCAGACCCAATTTGCTGCTAAATGACAAGTTTATCTGACAAATAAAGGGTAGATAAATTTTGGATGTTAAAAAATTAATCTAGTGCACTGATTACTCCTAATTGCTAATCTTTCAGTACACTTTGGATGCATAATTCAAATCAACACCTCACCGGATAAACTATCGCTGTTCACTCCTTCTCACTACAAGGGAATGAGCTTTGAATTTTGTTTTTTCTTAATACTTAACACAAAAATGCAAGAGTAGCACACTCATTCAGCCCTGCAGCTCTTTTAGTCTGGGCACAAAGTTGAAATTATGGCAGCCGAGGCTCCTCAGCAGTAACCAGCCTGACGCTCTCCCCACTGCGCAAGGCAGCGGGTCAGGCTGTTGTGGAACAAAAAGCGACTCAGCGATCGCAGAGCTACAGCTGCACTGGGAGCAGGGATTTCTGCAGCCCTGTTCAGCCCCAAGCCATCCCCACCTCTGAGGGACACAGATACCAAGCTCAGGAGCCTTTGGTTTATACCAAAAGGTCAGGAGCGACTGTTTAAAGGGAAGCTCAATGGAGAGCGGAGAGGTGAGGGTTTGTGTGGGCTCAGTGCCCGACTCATCATCCTGTGGGGAGGCCATGGAGCTGGGATGAAGAGCCACCAACACAAGCACTGCTCCTCTCTGGGGCTGCAGGATGCTCCATTCTCATGGCAGAGCCTTTCCACAAGGCCCAGTCCTGCCGGACACCGGCCCTGGGATTGCCACCACCCAAACCCACCACTGGCACCGAGCCACCTCCCCGCAGGGGAGCTGTGGGTCAAGGACGCTGGAACACGACCCCAGCAAGCGGCTCTGAGGGATAAAACCTTCCTCGCCCTGGCCAGGCTCACCCCATCCAAATCGGATTTTGCTGAGCGCCAGCGGGGAGCTGGAGGCGCTCACGGGTGGGTTGGGAGGGGAAGATGGTGTTAGACACCACAGCCTGGGAGAGGAGCCCGGGGCGCCTGGGGCAGGCCAACAGCTTTGGAAGAGATATTTTATTAAAAAGAAAAAATTAGGTTTTGGGCATTAGGGATTGGGGCAAGTGTTGCTCTATTAGAAACACCACTGTCATCTCCTTTCTCAACCTCAAGCCCTTATAAACCTCCTGTCTCGGGCAGCAGAAGGAATAAAAGAAGCTAAGAAAAACAACACTGAGGGTGAAAATTTTGTATTAAAAATATAACACCTCAACACCACCCTGACTCCACTGAACATCGGCGACAGCACGGCGAAGCCCACCCGCTCCCCAGCGCCCCATGCCTGGCGGGCTCACCTTGGTGTACTTCACCTCCAGGCTGCGCAGGGGCCGCGGCAGCGGAGGCACTTTCTTGTCGGGCTGCCCGTTCTCCACAGCGCCGTTGAGGGCTGCCATGGCCCCGCCGTCGAACCCGCGCGCCTTCTGCCCACTGACAGCGCCCGCGCCGCCTTAAGAGCGCCGCGCGAGCCGCCCGCCCGCCCCCATTGGCCGCCGCCCCCCGCCTCTCTCGCCGGCCCCGCCCCCGCGCCCCGCCCCGGCCCCTCGCGCGGCCGCAGGTGACGGGCGGCGCCGCCCCGCCGAGGCTCCGCGCGCGCCGCAGGGGCGGGGGGGCGCCCGCGCGCCGCCGCGGGGTCCCCACAGCGCTCGCAAAGGGCTCCCCAAGGGACTCACGGGATCCCAAAGGAATCCTCCCCTCGGGATCCCAAAGGGCTTCCAAAGGGCTCTCCACAGGGTTGCAAGGGATTCCCCTCAGGCCATAAACCGTTCCCCGAAGGGCTCTCCACAGAATCCCACCGAGTTCCCCGCAGGGATCCCACGGAGTCTCTCAGGGCTCCCCAGAGGGCTCGGACATTGCTCCCTCAGGGCTCCCCGTGGTGTCCCCGCAGTGCTTCCCTCAGCGCTCCTGCAGGGCCCCCTCAGAGCTCCACACAGAGCTCGGACATTGCTCCCTCAGGGCTCCCCGTGGTGTTCACTCAGCACTCCTGCAGGACTCCCTCAGAGCTCCGCGCACAGTTCGGACATTGCTCCCTCAGGGCTCCCCTTGGTGGGCCCTCAGCGCTCCTGCAGGGCTCCCTCAGAGCCCTGCACACTGTTCGGACATTGCTCCCCACAGGGCTCTCTCAGGGCTCCCCGCAGCCGAGGGCAGCGAGGGAGGGCAGCAGGATGTGCCAGATGGGCTCTGGGGAGTAGTGCAGCCACCCTGGCTTCCCCCAAAGGGTTCCACTGGGGCGGGCATGGGAGGATGTGCCCTCTGCTGCCTTCTGCCTCTGCGTCCCACCCAAGCCCTCCCAGAAGTCATTCATGGGAGAATTTTTGCAAGGGTCCCCATGGGAATAACTCCAGTGTCTCCCAGCAATGAGGGGAGATAAAATCTGCTATTCCTGGTGCCCTGACATCCTTACCTCAACCTGCTACACCTCATCCTTCACTCAGTGCCTCTGGAGAACTTTCCAGGACTGACAGTAAGAGAAGAACCCAACACCAAATGTGTGCTGTGTGTCTGACAGCAGCTCCTCCACATTCCTGTGTGCGTACAGGAGTCTGGGACCAGTTTGACCATCCCAGTCGAAGGACTCCAGCCGGCTGGGGCAGGACCAGGCCCTTCCACTGGAAAGTCCTACCCTGATAACAGCATATTTGTGTCCCAGTCAGCCAAGCTCCAGCATGGTGCTCATAGTAGCGTACTTGGAGTGTCAAAAAAGCTGCTGTCTTTCGAGAAGTCCTGAAGGATATGGAACATGTCTTAAGTGACAGATCTAGGCTCTGAGCCTGAACAAGTTCATTATGTATTGCTTAACTTTATTCTGCATAAAATATGTGTAAGTCTTTGCAGGCTGAGGGCCAGGACACTCAGAGCACCCTCACACCCCCACACACATGGAAGATAATACAACATATTTTCCATATAACAAGTGGCAAGATGCCAGAAGTTATCTTCCAAAATGTTCTGCAGAATCTGTAATCCCCAGCAATAGTCAGCACTTTGCTGTTAGAATGCTTAAAAATACTCAGTGCTTCCAAAGGCAGATAGCCCGTGATATCACAGTGGCATAGATTTAGTGCTGATTCAGAAGGGAAAGTACCTTGACGAGTCAATCTCCACTCCCTGCAGCTTGCAGGATGTTTTTGGAGGTTCTCTGCCCAGGTGAAAACCTATCTGATGGCGATTGGTTCAGAAATGTTTATTTCTAAGTTGTCCATTTTAAACTATCCAGTTGCTATTTCCCACAAAAGCTACAAATGCACCCAAGCTAGAAGAAATCTCTTAGCCATATCCCAACGTATTCCTAGTCCCAGTGAAGAGGAGTTTATCCATTTCTGTCTTTACCTTGCCCACAGAAACACTCAGTGGAAGTGGAAAGTACTTTTGCAATTAGAGAACAAAATATCAGGATGAGGAGAATGATGAATAAGAAGTTCCAGAACGAGCAGTGTCTAAAGAGTCATTCCAGTGGGTTGTCTCTTGTGGAATGACCTTGTCTCTTATCTCTGATGAGGAAGATTTTATACAAGACACTCCTGGGAAAATTATTGCCGCTTTGAGTTAATGTTGGTGCAGTGTGAGATACATCTAAGGCAGAAATTCCATGGACAGGGTTTGGGGATGTGTAAGACTTTTAAAAGGTTGTACAAAGTGAATGAATGGTGAGTCAGCAACATATGAATGAGCTGAAATAATAGACTTCAATGGATATACATAGCTGTGTGCACTGTTTCCTCTGATAATGTCACAGGAAGAGTAACAGAATGTTCTGCTGTCAAAGACTCTTGTGGACACTGACTGGTCCCTTGTTGGGCAAACTCCATCCTAGCATAAGTGGGAAGTCTCCAGAGGTGATGTGTCTTTGGTCACCAGATGTGCCTTTTGTGCTTCTACCAGATCACAGGGGTGGAAATACTCATGTCTCCAGAATTCTGAGTGGGAGAAGCCCTAAAACCATCAGCAGAGCCCTGATCAGAACAAATGTAGGCATTTGCCATTCATTCCTGTGCCTCAGGAAGGGCATGCGACCACTAAGCTAGAGGGACTGAAAAAATGGGTTTTACCTAAGTTTGCAACAGTTGATCAATGTGTCAGAAACACGAGCAGGAGGAAAAGCATCTCTGGATGAGAGGCCACATCGCTCCTGAGTTACCCTGCTGTGTTCTCCTGTCGCAGAGATCTCGGCAGTGTGTCCTTAACCCGCTGCAGTGACAGCCATGGCTGTGGATTCCCTGGAGCTGCTCTGCAGAGCTGTGTCTCACAGAGTTTTTACACTGCCAGTACAGCAGCTCTGCTCTGCCCAGCAGAACAAAGATCACCTTCCCACTCTTGGGTTGGACATGTGCACTCTTAAATCTGCCACCGTGAGTGAGTCTGACCACAGCTCTCTGTGCTGTCCTGCCTGCTTGTGCCAGAACAGTCCTAGGACATGTTCCTGCTATGATCTTGCTGTCTCCCTATCTCTTAGGGATGCCTGTAGGAATTAATTTCTCTTACTTCCCAACCTTATTTAACCTTAATGACGGGGATATTGCTGGTGGTAACTCCTCCAAATACACCGTGCTGTATCTTATTCCCTGGCTCCAGCCCAGAAGAGCAGTGAATTGTATGCACAGGGTAAGTGAGGACATCTCCAGACTACCTGGAAATAGGGTGTTTCTAGGCCCCTTTGCCATCCTGCCCCATGGATGACAGATTCGACAGCGGGGCACATATTAGAGAGCTGTGTTTGTCCAGCCAGTGGTGCTGTAGCCATTGACAGATACTATACAAACTGATCAGCTGATATTCCAAAGATTTTCTACTTTTTATCTACACCTCAGCCTGTGCTTCCAGCTGACCAGCAGCGCTGTAGCTGTGTAGAGCACTCAGCCTGGCAGAGAGCCAAAGCTTATCCCACTTATTTTCCATATACCCCGAAGCCCATGCACACACAAACATAAATACGTGTGTGAAACAATATACTCTGAAAGGCTACTGAGGCTCTACGCTCCAGCATTCAGCAGCCCGGAGTGTCCAGAATTTGCCTGGTTTTCCTCATCCAGATGAACTGTAATTGAGTTATCCACGCCCTTTTCCTACAGGCATCCCCCTCACTCTGCATTGGCAATGCTTGCTGCTCCTGAGGGAGCAGCTCCCCTCATGATTTATTCTCCTCTTGTTTAATGTGCAGCGAAGGGGCTTTTTACTGCCTGTTATTCAAACTGTGCTTTGGGCACAAAATTATTCATTTCCGTATGGTTTTTCCATGGTGCTCATGACAGCAGTGTCTGAGAGTTTCACATGCACTGTTTCCTTTTCCAGTCATTTTGAGAGGATGCTGACCCTGTATTATCAGTGAGGAAAGAAGGCAGGCAGTGATGAATAAAAAAAGGGTCTTCATAATTTCAGTTTCCCAATGTGAGTCACCCACAGCCTGAGTGCTTTGATTCAGAGCTCAGCTCCAGCAGTCATTGCACAATGTAAAGATCTCCCACCTAAACATCCAGGTAAGGCAGAAAGTGCTGGTGAGTGCATTGCCCCCCAGTAACCTCAATCTGTGAATTTTCTGGTTTTTGTAAGTTCGCCATTCCTGTAACTTTTATTTCCATGGGCAGTTCTCTAGAGTTTGAGTTAATTCTTCTAAGCAAACTTAAAATCCATAAATTTCGTCAGTCTTGAACAAATTTGCTGTGATACAGGTCAGCAGCAGGATGAGCTGTTTTAAGCTGTGGTGGGATTGTCATTTTGTGGGCTCTCTGGCAGCAGAAGTGACTGATGGATCGGGACTGGCCATGTGAAGGCAGTGAGATGTGCTCTGCTAGCACATTTTGATTTGTTTTGTTTTTCCAAATATTTTCTGGTTGCAAGATAGTGATAATTCAACTGCTGCCTTCAGCTGTGAAACACCTTGCAACTATCACCAAACTAATGAAAAAATCTTCCATTTTTAACCAAAACTACTTCTACTCAGTTTATCAAAGTATTCACATACAATTTCAGAAGGCTTTGAATCCAGAGAGTTGCCTTAAAAAGTCAAAATAAAAAAGATACCATGTCCTGAAGATACCATGGAAATGGTATGTCCTACATGAGGGTTTTTCTTGTATCAATCTAACCTTAATTGGGCTGTGCTGGTGCCTACAACCCTCCTCCACTGATATTAATGGAGAGGGGTTGTAGCCATGGGATATAACTTGGAGTGTGAGCAGCCCCATGAACTCAGCCCCGTCCTGTATTTGTGGTGCCCTTCTCGTGCCCTGTGGGTTTAAGCTTCAATTTTAACACATCTGGGACTGAAGAACAGTTTCTTTTCCTGTTCCCCTGCACCTCCAAAAGTCCCATTAGCAAAAGTGGAGAGAGGCGATGTGAGATACTGTAAGATGCTATTTGTGCAAACATTTGTAATCCTAAACATGACCTCATGATGCAAACCAGGACTTTGGCGGCTCAAGACAAAACACAGCCTTTTTATGCTTTGTGCTGTAATTACTTCATGAAGCAAAATCCTCAGTCAAATTAATTTTCTTCATGCATATCAGAGGTATTAAACTGCGACTGTGCACAAGGATTGGCCTTTCCTTCAGCTAGCCTGGCTCCAAAAGTAAATTGGAAAAGTAAGTGGCAGGGAAATAACAAACAGCTGAACGTTTTGAAGCCTTTTCTATTAAAACAAGGTCTATTTCATCTAGTCTTCGCTTTTCTGTGCTAGGCCAAGCATTGGAAGATGAGGAGAATGGGAGCAGGAACAGAAGCAAGTGTGAGATAACCTACTAAGATAGTGTCTGTGCTGTGGAGAAGTTCAAGGGCCTGTTTCCTTACAAACCATTCAGTGTGTCTGGCACCACAGAGCCGATGGGAACCACTCCCTGCATTGATCTGGTGATGCAGACCTGAAGATTATTTGCCTACAAACAGGTATTGTTTGCAGGATTGGCAAATGAAAAAAGCAAATATGTTTGTTTTCTCCACAGATCATGTTGCTTTCTACTTTCTCTTGATAAGAGGTATTTGGGGACGGTTCCCAGGTTTTGGAAGCAGTGGTTGTCTAGGCAGGAACTGAGAAGCCTAAAATGTGCTTCTTCTTCTCCTTCCTCCCTGTCTCTTTGCTCTCACTCATCATCACATCTGTTCTGGGCCCAATGCCCAGCAGTTCTGCATTAACGCCTCAGTACACACAGGCTCACACAGCTGAACAGTTCGCAATGCAACGTACCCAGTGCCGTCATGTCTTCCCGAATCAAGCTCCTGCAAACCACTTTTGTTTACGGGAAGAATCACTTGGCTTCAGAATGCTACTTGTGAGCTGTGACTCGAGACACTCCAATGGTTTTGCAGGGCCCCGTTGTGAATCTGAAAATACAGAACAGAGCAGGTAAACAAACATCCTTAAAGATGATCCCGTCTCAGACCTTGATCCTGCAAACCCACACGGGCTTAATGTTAAGCACATGAACAGTCCCAGATGACTTCAGCAGAGCTACTCACATGCTCACAGTGAAAAGCATTTGCCAGATCAGAGCCTTTATGTCTAATTGCAAAATAAAAGGCAAGTCTCCCAGTTCTATCAACTGTAATGAATTGTTATTAGCAGCACAATTTAAAATAGCTGCGGGGCAGATCCCTGGCAGACCACTGGGGATAAAGTGATGTAGACTTGTTGTAACAGAACCTGGAAATACTTTTTCCTGGATAAATTGCCATGCCAGTCATATGAAACACTAACACTGTGATGAGGTTGTTTTTGTAGGCTTTGACCTGTGCAAAGCTTTTGTGGGTTTTTTTTGGTTGCTATTCTCTGCACAGTTCCTCTCTTTCCCACCTTCTGGGTTGAATTCTGCTGTTTGAACCAGGAGTCGGGAAACTGCTCTGCTCCTAACCTTGGCGGTACTTTCTGTGAAGATTTGATGATGGTATAGTGTCCAAAGGCACCTTTAGGAGCCACAGTGGGAAAAGCCAAAGGGCGGCCCCTGTCCAGCAGGCTCTGGCACCAGGTCAGCATCCACGACCCCGGGCTGCGCGCGGGGTCCCATCCGTGTCCCCTCGGCTGAGGGGCTGCCCAGCACAATGGGCGACATTGTGTCCCGTCGCTGCCACTAACGGCGGGGCTGGGCACGGGCGAGTGAGGGGGCGCAGAGAGCGGGACCCGCCCGTGTCCGCTAATGAAGGGCGAGCCCCGGGCCCTCATTAGGAGCCCGCCGGGCCGTGCCCCGGCCCCGCCGCCCGCCGCTGCCGGGGCCGAGCGCGGAGCGGCCGCGGCGCTCAGCGGGCGCGGAAGGTGGCGCGGCCTCTCCGGGCTGGCGTTTGCACCTGGGGCTGCCGCGGTTTAATGGACTTTAACACATGCAAACAAGAGCTTTTGTGTGCGGGCACAAAGGCTGCCCCGGCGCGGGGCTCTCCCCAACACTGCCGCATTGTTTCCCCTCCGCTGCTTCTTGTCACCCTCCTTGTCAGAGTTTAATGAGGACAACGAGGTTTCGCAGGCTCATTTCGCACTTCAGCAACTTTCTAACACTTCCCTAACGAGGGAGAAGGGGCCGGAGCGACCGGGGGCGCAGGGGAGGAGCAGCCCCGGGAGAGACCCGGGGCCGGGGCAGGTGCGCCCGGGGCCGAGCCGGGATGCCGGGACTCGGCTCTTCCGGCCCATCTCCGGCACCTCGACGTGGCTCCATTAAAAGCCCCAACTTACTGCGCGACTTAAGCTCGGCCGAGCCGGCAGGAGTGTCCCCGCGGTGCCCGGGGAAGCAGCGATGCTGCGGGAGGCGGTGGCCGCTGGTACCGCGATGGGCAGCGGCGGGGACCGGCCCCGTGGCTCGCTGTGAGGCATTTCCCCGGAGCACGTAGTTTTCCCGGGAGCAGGGAGCATTCTCACCTCGCGCCGTCCCCGCCGAAGCCGAGCATCCCTCCCGAAGGCGAGGAGGCAGCGGGGCGGGTGCTCGGCTCCTGTCCCCTCACCCCGGGGCACTTTCTCCCCACCCCGACCGTGCGTTCGCCCGGCACGGCTCGGCGCGCTCCGCTGCCCCGGGGTGGAGCGGGATTCCGCCGTGGCGGGACCGGCGGGCGAGGGATGCCGAGCGCGATCGGTAAAACAGCCCAAACCCGGATTTACACCGTTCAAAGCTCTCGAGGTGTTGTAATTGCTTTGGGGGAGCGGTCTCTCCTCCCCAAACGCAGCCATTCCCTTCAGGCTGGCTTTATTTCCCCTCTCTACATAGCCGACTGTCCCAGGCAGTAGCTGCAGTTTTCGGTCTTTTAAATGGAGACTTTGGGAAGGATTTGCCTTTAGCCTTTGCGAATCCTCGTTTCTGCCTCCTGTTCCCACGACCAAAATCTCCCCTCCGCTTTTTTTTCTTACTTCCCTCTTCTGTGCGTGTGAGAAATTTGGAAAACTCGAGAAGTCATTTAATGCAAAGGGATTTTAAAAGACGAAAGTATGCTGTGAAAGAAAAAAAAAACCCAACACCCCAACCACTTAATTAGATACTTACCGAAGGAGCCATTAGAGCCTGCTGGGTATAACACGGTTTATAAGTTCTCTGGCCACAAAGAAATTCAATAATTACTATTTTGTAACTCCCTTACAATGGGATGGGTGAAGGATGGAGTGTGATAAACTTAACTCTGTTCCTGAGCTTTTTGCAGATTAGCCTTTGGCATTCACTGGTAAATACCAAGTGAATAGAGACTGTGTGACCACAGTGCCTTGAATTAGGGACAAACATTTCCTCTGTGCATTTTAAATAATGCTACTGCCAAATATTTTGTTACCAGAGATCATTATCCTTTTGAATGAAAACTCGAGGAGTAAAGGCATTGGTTTTGTCTTTGCTGGTGTGGAACAGACTATATGATATCTAGAACAGCAACAAGCTTTCACAAATTGCTATATGATTTCTACTGCCAGGTTCTGTGATATTGGATACGACATAAAAATAAAAAAGCCGGGCAGATAGACACAGAAACTCACAGAAACCACCTGTATATTTTGTTTCAAAGGAAAATCTCAGCTATTGTCTTACTGGCTCTGGTTCTGTTAGGCCTTGGATCGGCTTAATCTTTAAAGCTATTCAAACAAATTGAATGATACAAGGCAAGTCTTCTATAATTAATCCGGATTCTTGAATTTTGATACAAACTTTTATGTAACAGAGAAGTTTCTCTCTTTTCCTTGCAAAGACATTAAATAGGCACTAAGTCCTTCTGTCAAGAGTGCTACCATGAACAAAGTTAAAAGGAACAAACCTGGAAATCTTCCCTTCATCAAGAAGAAAGAGATGCAAACATAAAGTCATGGGAGAGCTGGGACTGGTCCCTGGACAGAGACCAAGGTTTAAAGTGGCCCCTGTGCTACAAACCACAGAACACGAACACAGGAATGGTGGTTTGTCCCAGGCACAGCTTCTGCAGGATGTTATTTTGTCAGTTTATCCCAACCTCACAGGGATTCAGTGCTGGCACTCAAAGGTCTCATTTGAACCTTTTGAAATGTTTATTCTTTCACTACTACAGTCCAAAGAAAATGGAAATTATGCCATTGGGTATGGAAGAACTCGTGACGTCCACGGTCAGCTGCCACTGTGGATGATGAAGCTTCAGCTGCGGTTTGCTCCTTCTCATGTTATGCAATTTTCTCTTGGTATTTGGCAGAACTGCTTCAGAACAGATACTTTGCAGAGCTGTGCATCTTATGATGAGGCATTGTTAAAATCCTCCTGTGTATGACTCCCTTGTAGGAGTCAAAACTTTATCTGGGTTATCAGGAAAATAAGAATTATGTTGGGGTTTTGGGGGTAATTTTTTGTGATCTGGACTATCTGGCTTCAGTGGAAAATCAACACAATGAGAAAGGTCTGTAGGTGTAGACCTGCAAAACTCCTAGGCTGCAGATACAATTCCCACTGAGGCCATTGGTAAAACCCCTCACAGACCCAGTACGAGTTCAGGTCAACAGCTCTCCAGGTTACCCCATGGCAGATCCACTGACAACTCTGCTTTCTGACTCTATCTTTCCTCACAAATTTTTCTTCAGATCCTGTAAAATCCAGTGAGAGAATGAAAACTTTTTGATTTTGAAGCTGATGTCTCTGGCAGTGATGGTTTACACAGTGTTCTAACTCCAGGGAATTGCCTGATGGGCCAAATGAGTTGGGTTTTCTTGAGTTTCTGAGCAGTTGTGGGTCTGTCTTTCCATGGACACAGACAGAAGTGGTGCTGACTGTGTGGAGAGAGCAGAAAGCTGTGCCCAGGGTCACATCATCTGCTGTGCAATCTGGCCCTTGGTCACATCAGGTGGCCCCCTCTCTGCTGAATGTCCTACCCTCATGCCAGGCAACAATTCCACCTTTTACTCACTGAGGTGTAGTGTCAAACCATGTGCCCAGGATGTTGGTGCTCTGTGCCGGCTTTTCACCTCTCACACCACCAGTGTCTCCAGACAATGCCAAGGCTATTCTCCATTCCCTACAGAGGTGTCAGATGGTTGAGGTTATCCAGAGACCAAGTGGAGTGAGCCTGTTCATTAGGATGGGAAAAGAAAGAAAATACAGACCCTGGTCCCTACAGAAGAGAGGAACACCCAAAGCTGGCCATGCAATGGCCCAGACAGGAGGATTTTTGGGTGCCAGCAGCTGCCAGGTGCTGCTGACGCTCCTGAGGCCAAAGCCACTGGGTCTTGTCACAGCTGCTCCGCGCGCCGGCCCCAGAGGCCACTGCTGATAACTCCCTCCAGGTGTTCAGCCTGAGAACAAAGGCCCTTTTCAGTGGCTGCTGGGAAGGAAGAAGCCTCCTTGCTGGATGGAAAATGGCTTTCCTGGACGGCAATATTTGGTTACAGTACGATCTGTTACTTCAGAAGAAGCCCCGCAGAAGGGAGGGTAATTTGACTCAGGCATGTAAAAAAAACATTGTGGGGACTCTTGTCTGCTTCCTCCTTCTCCCCAAAGTTCTGAAACAATATTGAGTTGTGATGTTTCATACAAGCAAAATAAAACTGGAATCTGGGATCAAAATGTGCCTCATCTTGCTATGCCCATTGTCATGAGGGTGAGCTGGGTCATCATCCTGAAGAACCCCTGGATGCATAGCACACAAAACAGTGCTTCTGAGCACAAAACTGAGCTGAGAAAAGCTGTGTGCTGGCATGAACACAGTTCAGGAGAACCTTTCCCTCAATCCATGGACCTGAATTTCAGTGCTTGTGTTGGAACACCTTAATCAAACATTTTCACATTGAAACTCATACTGTTTGCACAGGGACACCTGAAAGATAATTTGGTGCTGTGGATAAGGATGAGGAGCTGGGTTTGGGTATATTTTCCAAGTAGCTGTGCACCCTCTGGCTTGGCCCCGGAGGGGTTTCCAAAGGGGAAGGTCTGGTGACCACCGACTGCAGCCGTCTAGAGGTGGCGCATTCCCCCTTTCCCACAGAGCCAGCTGCCGAGGGAAGGAGCACCCCTTGCACAGGCACTGCTGTCATGTTGTCCATGTATTTTCAAACCTGGGTTCCCACCACCAGCTGAAGCTTTTCTGTGCCCTCCTACAGCCTCACCATGGTTATAATCTCCATGGGATACTCCCAGAATGTTCCTTCCCCATGGCTGCTCAGCCTACCCCTACATTATCCCTACACCCCATAAGCTGTTCCTCACACTCCAGGGAGTTGATTCCCTCAGATGTGTAGGAGGTGACTTATCTAAAATTATTTTCTCCACATCTTTCAGGTAGAAGCGAGAAGGACAATCCATGGAACATTCCCACGCTGATGAGGCATTTCCCATCTCTGAAAGAAACACAGAAGGATGCTGTCCTCACCCCAAATGTACGTGCTTAGTGGAAGAGCAAGGACATGAAACCCCTTTTTAAATATCTACTGTACATGCATAAATATATCTCTACATAATGCTGAACTTCTCATTTCAAGTAAGCAGAGGAACAGTAGCACAGATATTGCAGTTTTCAATCAAGCAGTACAATTTCCTATAAAATACAAGGCTTCCCTAATTCTTCAAATGCACCAGCTAACATCTATACAAATAATGGGATTTGGCTGAATACAGTTAAATATATTTGATTACTTCCCTTTTATCTAGTTCTAGGTTTACTGTACTTTTCCTTGGATGGCAAATAAGAAGCCCTTTTCTTCTAAGTGACAGCAGGGAAAAGAATCAGGTTGCTAATTTACCTGAGACCCAGGAGTGTGTAATGATAGATGTGTACTGGAAAATACAGAGGGGGCTTTCTAATTTTGGGGGGAGGAGAGAGGGAAAGCGTGAGATTCGTTAATCTCTCAGATTGATGGCGCTTTTGCTGATGGACTTTCATGGTTGTAATTACACACACATCAGGAAACAAATGCAGTGAGAAGAAGAGCTGACAGGAGTCTAACAAAATGTGTCACACAGGAAGCAATAAAATGGAAAATCACTGTTCTCCAGACAAACAAGGATGCAACGTGCTCGTGGTTAATCACAGTTTCTCTCTCAAAGCAAAGGGTATAGACTTACCTACATGGTGAGGAAGTGAGCACACACACGGTCCAGGAGCAGTTTGGTTAAAGAGGCAGAAATCCTTGTGTGGATGTCCAGCTCTGCAGGACACCAGTGCTTCCAAAGATGTGTCACCTAGGTTTTTGCATGATAGATCTCCACCAAAATCTTCTTGAAGAAATGTGAAGGAAAGAGGCAGGTGGGAAGGGAGAAGGGAGGATGGATGGCAGGCAGGCACAGAAGGGTCCCACCTATGGTTTAGGTTTGTTTTGAAATGGGTGTGTTTTCAGCCCCAGGGAAAGCAAAAGCCTGGAGCATGCCCACAATGCCATGATGGCCAGATCAAATGGTCTAAAGCACCAGCAGCTTTGGGTGACAGGTCACTCTCTGGGTAGGGAAAGGAATCTGAGCCCAAGCTGAGTGTGCTGTGCTGTTGGTCTGGTTTAGGAAATGCTTTCCTTCTCCTCTCCTGGGATTCCTTTGCCTTCTGGAATCTGGGCAGGTCAAGTTCAAGCCAGGGTTTCACCTGAGGAGGTGCATTCACACCAGCCAAGAGAAGAGCAGTGCTGCAGGGAGAGGATCAGTCACACACAGGTCAGGGCCAGGGACAGTTCAGGTGATCTGAAGCAAAATCATCTAATTTTTAAAAATATTCTAATATTCTAGCAAATGATGCCTTCTTTTTGCTCCTTAGGAGATTCAACCTACTAGTTCTTCCCTGGCTTTATTTTGTCTGGTTCAGATTTGAAGTTGGTTATCCAGAAAAGCAGAAAGATGGCATAATTTCCTGTAGGCATGTTTGTGTGTATTCTATGCTTCCAGCAGACCCTCAAACATCCACTGGATCACCAAGCAAGCAGCTTTTGTCTCTTTGTTGTTTCATAAAAAAAAAAAATTGTATCATGGCTTTCAAGTAGAAAAAAAAATAGAGAAATAATAACATGACCCAACTGCGAAAATATTTTTTTTCATGAACTATACCAATGAATTGGAAATGCAAGTAGTAAAATGAATTGCCAAAAGTATCAAATATATGTTTTCAATAACTTTTTTTTTTTGTTACCTAGTAAAATATTTTCCTGGAGAAGGGTTGTTAAACCCCTTGGTGCAATATAAAGGTGCAGTGATGTATTGTCTCAGAAGTGGTTTAATGGAGTTTTGGGGTTCCATTTTTTGTACATACTTTCAACACACACAGTGCGTGATCAATTTGGATTTATAAAATGCTCTATATTTCTTTCTAAGCAATGATCTTAACTTTTAAAGAATGTTGCTTAGTTAGGAGAGCATGTGTGTGTGTTTGCATTTTGGCAAGGCAGCAAATCACATACAATATTTATGCCATTTGAGAAAAGTATTTGTGCATTTGCCAAAACCAGTCCTTTCTAAGAATGTAAAGGTATTTGATCTGCTCTAAACCACAGTTTCAGGGAGGATTAGGTGTGTGGGAGCACTGGGCAGAGGGAAGACCTGTCCAGTCTTTGTGGTGTGAAAGGGCAGGATTTTAGACAAACAAGCCAGATCTTGTTTCAGCTCAACTCTGACTCTGTTTTAGTGAAAATCTGTTTTTCAGGCCTACCTGTGGCTTTGCTGCCAACAAGCTGGACTTTGCAGGGAGGTCAGTGCTGCAGGCTGGGCAGCACCAGGTGGAGTCTGACCCCAGCTCTCCTGCCACGCTCCTGTGACAACTCAGGGAGGTCAATTATTATAAAATATGCAGGGCAAAGATGGCAAAAGGATGATGTCCTGTGCTACAGCAGTGATTCCCCTGATAACTGACCCACTTCACCCATTTTACTGGCAAAAGACAGCCAACAGCTGAGTGTACAGGGATGGGGAAAATGTGGGGGATCGTGATCATGATTTATCCTGATCTCTGTCACTCCTGCTTCATTTATCATAGAATATCCTGAGTTAGAAGGGACTCACACAGACTACTGAAGTCCACCTCTTTCTCCACTGTGTGCCAAGGGTCAGGATCTGTCCCTGGTATCAGCTGCTGTTGATGCATCTCAGAAGGTGAAAGCCCAGTGCCCTGCTCACACCCCAGCTGGCTGTGCAGACCCCTGAGCTGACATCTTTGTGCCAAATCCAATGATATAACGTTTCATGCAGAGAATTTCTCCAGTCCCCCTCCCTTCTTTTTTTGCTTTATCTCTTCCTTCTATCTTCAGCCTGTCAGGACTTTCACATACCTGCAGCTGACAGCTAAGGGATCAGGAACTTTGATGTTGTAAGGGATATTTTATCTCAGGTAATTCTCACCAATTCCTACCTTTTTGTGTAGGATATCCAAGGACTCCGGGAGTGAGCAACGCCTTTGTCTGGTAAGATCAGAGCAATTTGCAAGCTTTTCTGGGAACAAGGTCCAATAAAGGGACTTTAGAGATATAATCTGTCAACCCCATTGAGCAGCACTGTGACAGCAGTCTTAGGATTATTGACAGTTTAAGCATCACCCCGGACAGAACAAGACTGAGGGCACACAGTTGGTTGCAGTTATTTGCAGTAAGACATTGTTTGCTGAGGAAGCATAGGAAACCCTTTATAGCTGAATTTACCAAGTTTTGACCTAGTTTCTCCCTCAGGCAAACAACTGACTCTACAGGGATCTGCTGCTTTTTGGTGGGAGTTTGAAAAAAAAAATCCAATCTTTGAGGTGCAACATCTTATTCACAAGACTGACCTGATTTTGAGGCTCTGAATTGGAAGGGTCACCCAGCAGAGCCAGTCCTGAGCCTGCAGTCATTGGGCAGAGGGTGGACTGCCACCCCAGTCCCCTGAGTCTGGAGAGTTTGTCACTCAAACTGTGCTCTGGCATCACAGGCAGGTGTGAGGACATGCAAAGCCCTTCCTCTTGCCAGTCCTGTGGTAAGCACCATGTGGGGCAGTGCTAATGAGGGCTGTGATGCCCTGAGCCCTGTGTTTGAAATCCTCTCCTTCCCTCTGGACCCCACTCTGTTCCTTCAAACCTCCTCATTCCTGGTGAGCCAAGCTGAGCTGGCAGAGCTTTGCCAGGGACCAGCCATCCATCATCTCCTCAAGAGCTGTGGCAGGGAGCTCCCTAGAAAATGACTGATGGGAAATGCTCAGCAGGGTTGCCCTCAGTTGTTTTTGCTACCCACCAGCTCGCTCACCTCACCAGGGCTTTGCTGTCCTCACTGTACTTGATTTTTGAGGAATTTCTCCATTATCACATATTACTTCTGACATAATTTTTCTCCCTCACTAGGCAAATGTTTGCTTATTTTACTTTCAAATACACCAGTATCTTCTTTTCCAGCAATGCCCAGGCTTCACATTTTTATAAACATATTAACAAAGATCCCTGCTCACCCT